GTTAATATAGTGCCGGTGGGCATTTGCCTCTTCTAGCTGCAAGATGAGCCCTTCCTTAAATGGGTCACTTGTAAGTGATTTCATTTTCAATTTTATAGTGACCATCTTGTAGGATATCTCAAGGGGTGGAATCCCAATTGGGACAGAGGTCAATCCTTGGGAGGATGATGAGTGGCCCTGCTTATCTTCAAGAGGACCGTGGCAGTAATTTGGCAACATTGTGCTTGAGGAACTGAATCAAATCAGAGAGACCTTATGCCTATTTTCATGCTGCGTAATAGCTCTTTATCTCTGTGTTTTATCCAATTGGTGTTTCTTAAATCTTCATCATTCCACTAACCAATTTTCCTCCTTAATCTTAGCAATGGAATACAGCTCAAAATGTACTGTCATTACCACCAAATGTAAGCACCTCACCTCTGCGAAATATCAATACACGGGCTAATAGGGAAAATAAAGGGTATATTTGAGAGGTTTTTAACTGTATTCATTAAATTCTATTTAGTCGTTTACATTAAGATCACTTCTGTTGAACATGCACAATTTTAACCTATAACCATTTTATAGCTGCCACATTATGTCTGACACAGAGCAGTACGATGCTTCAAACGACACACTTAACGACACTAATGACTTAATGAACGATTCAGTGGAGGATGCCGAGCTGGAGGCTATCAAGGTGGGTTACAGTTTTCACCTATCTATACTACCTTACAAGACATATTTATAACGTACGAAATGTGGCGGTTTTCCGAAAATTTCGCCATATTTTCGGACCGCCAAAATTTCGGTCGTCGTAATAGAATCCGTCGCATTATCTTTTAGCTTATTTCAATGACTGTGCCTTCACTGCTTTATTTTGTTTCTAAAAAGTAATATCAAGTAAAATAAATAAATAAATTCTGGCATCTTGGGACAAATTATCACCACACCAATGACGAATTGAATGTCAAGCAATACAGTTTAAATTTGCATTAAGATACATGTATGTGCTAACATGAAAGTCTTACAGTCTTAATACAGACTAAGTTTGAACATGATTTTACCGAATTTCAGAAATTTCCTTATTGCTTACTGTCACAAAAAATGATGAAAAATACCCTTATTTTCTGTGACGTCCGAAATTTGACGGTTTTTGTTCAATTTCGCCATATTTTCGGACTGCCAAAATTTCGGTCGTTGCAAATTAGGCCGCCATAAATATGTCTTGTAAGGTATATTTTAAACTTGACGAAATCCCCCCGGCAACGACCTAAAAATGACCCTCTGGTGTCACCAATTTAAGCTCGCAAATGGAGTTGAAACCTCGCCATTTTTAGCAGTTTTGTAAAAAAAGATAGGAATAGTCAGAATATAGCATTCTTAGAATTTTTATAAAGTCTTTAGATTTTTTATAATTAACCTCGGAAGTGAGGTAAAATAAAGGTTTAAAGAATAATAATAATAATAATAAGTAGGAATTTATACATCGCTTTATAGCCATAAAGAACTCAAAACCCAAAGATTCAGTTCAAACCATCTAAAGCGACTCATGAGTAACATGTACATAAGAACTTATTTTTATGAAGTATGGATTTTATGAGAAAGGTAATACATGATACTTATACAAATACGTTTTCAAAGAGATGAGTTTTTAGTTTCTTTTTAAATAAGACGATATCGGTTAGTGTTCTCAATTGATAAGGAAGCTTATTCCAAACAGAGGGTCCGCAGTAGCTGAAACTTCTCTCGGTTTTACTATAGTTTGAAATAGGAGGAACATTTAGGAGGAAATAGTCTTCTTCAGTTCTTAGTACACGTACAGGTTGACTTTTGATGTCAATACATTTGATGATATACTCCGGCGCTATGTTGTTAATGCATTTGAACACGGTTAGAGCAATCTTATACTCTATTCGTTGTCGTATCGGAAGAAAATGGGCTTTTTTCAGGAATGGAGTGACACTGACCCATTTTTTGATAGCTTTCCAACCAAACAAGAATCGAACACAGGAATTTTGTACCTTCTGGAGTTTCTTTATTAGAAGATCAGGTAAACCGTATAAGAGTCCATTGCAGTAGTCTAGTTTTGAAAAGATCAAGCAGTGAATGAGCTGTCTTTTTAGATCATAGTTAAGCTTTGAGCCTATAACTCGAAGGTTTCTCAGATGGATGTTGCAGCAACTGATAATTGAATTTATTTGGTCTTCAAATGTTAGGAATTGATCAAATAGGACACCTAAACTTTTCACTGTGCGGGATGCATCCACAGGGTCAGCTGCATTGTCAAGTTGTATTGAATCGACTGGACATGAAGAGTAACTGTTCTTGGTCTGTACTACAAGAGCTTCTGTTTTGTTTTGGTTCAGTTTGAGTTTATTTTGGGTCATCCAGGTCTTAATATCTTCAAAACAATTTGTTATTCTCTCTTCGATTGTTGAGAGATCTCGAAATAGTGGGTTAAACTCAATGTACAGTTGAGTGTCATCTGCGTACATGTGGATGTTAAATCCATGTCTCTTTGCGATCTGATTGAGCTCCTTTGTGTAAAGTATAAACAGAATTGGACCTAGAATTGAACCTTGCGGGACTCCAATTCTAAGGAAGCATCTCTTTGATCTTGATTTATCAATAGTTACTGTGAAGGATCTGTTATTAAGGTATGATGTAAACCATTCGAGAACAGTACCTTCAAAACCAAAGTCCTTTTTTAGTTTTTTTAGGAGCAAGTGATGATTTACAGTATCAAAAGCAGCACTGAGGTCCAAAAGGAGGAGGATAACCTTACTTTTCATGTCACTGATACAAAGAAGATCATTGTAGATGGTAAGGGTCGCAGTTTCGCAGCTATGATTTGACCTATAACCACTTTGATGCTCAGCATGAAGATTGTGATAGTCAAGATGTTTGGTCATCTGTTTCTGGACGCTCTTTTCAATGAGTTTCGAGAGGAAAGGTAAGTTACTAATCGGTCTATAGTTGTTGAAGCTATTGACATCTCCTTTATCATCTTTGATGGCTGGTCTGACAAGAGCACTCTTTAGGACTAACGGAAATTTTCCAGTGACAAGTGAGTCATTGATAATAAATGACACAATTGGTTTAACTTCATTAAAACACTGAATTAGAAGTTTTAGAGGGATGGGATCCTCTTCACATTCTTTTTTGTTAAGGTCAGAAAGAATCTTTTTGAGATCATTGTCGCTTATGGTTTCAAATTGGCTCCAGGCTTCACCTTGAAATGGTTCAGAGTGGTCAAGAAGAATGTCAGCTGCAGTATCATTGTTAATGGCAGAGTAAATCTTTTCCACTTTATCATTGAAAAACTCTTTCATCTCCTCACATAGAGTTTCAGCAGGTTTGTTATTAGGCTTCAAGTTTTTAGATATGTCCCGATCCATCAGCTGATTTGAAAGTCGTAATTTCATCAAAGGTTACCTGCGCCGTTGCTGATTATAGCTACTTCAAGAGATTGCACGTGCGCGAGCAAGAACAGATTAGCAACGCGTGCACGTGTTGCCATGCTCTATGATACGTCATAACTAGCTCACATTACAATTTACGCTATGACTATCCATAACTTTGGTTGTGATTGATGTTTTTTGATGCGGTAAAAAGTATCGATTAGGGAAAACTTAGATAAAACCTTATCGTTGTCGGCAAATAAAAATCCATACAATTTATATTACGGAGCTAGATCATAGATAGATAGATGATGGCAAGAAACTATTATATAAAACTATAACATAACTGATATTCAATTTCCTTGAATAAAGCCTTCAGCTAGCGGATGTACAGGTTTGAGAAAGCCTATGAGCTAAGTAAGCAGATAACTTAGTGTTTACCATATTATAAGGCACAACACCCATACTCGCAAAAAGCTTTAAAATCGTGCGAGAAAAATGTATGGTCAGGAACAGGTTGTAATAATACGAAATATTGAAACTGTCCCTTTGATCACGAATCAATACGAACAAAAAGGTAGATTGATAACAGCGTGAATATGTTATATGAGTCATATACGATGAGCTATAGGAATGAATAGATATGTTTCGATCTGTAAGGCAGCTGACCCAGGCCAGGCCGAGTCTATCGAGCATAAAATAAAAGGATGAAACATTTTTCCTGTCAGCTTGTAGTAAAAATATACTAGCTTGTTGAGGATTACATGCGATGAGCTATTCTTACTTCATATCACAAGATCCAATCATGCCCTAACATTCCCTACTCAAAGTCAATATACCATTCACTGTAATTGATAAGCTGAGAAGGTACACGAAACGTGTTTGAACAATGTTGCGTTATCCAGCTATTGTCGTGCGAAGTACCTACAGCTTTACACGTTACGAGGCACACTGTTCCTACTCAAATATTGTATCCTACAAATCTTCTCTCCAGATACTATTTATTCAGGCAATACTATCGAGAATATGTCTATTGATATTTAAAACTTGACGAAAAAATCCATAATTTCTACAGTATAACAGAGCTAGATGATGAATAGAAATTAAAACATAACAAATTTTTTAAATTTCCTCGAACAAAGCTTTCGACTGGCGGGTTTCTAGTAAGTGATATCTCATAGTTGGGAAATGAAGATTTAACCTGTGTATTTAAATGTGATATTTAAATTATTCCCGGTCTAATTAACACTGGAGTCGGATTTGGAGCGATTTTAGTTCGGGAGAAAATCCTAGGTACCTAACAGGAAGGAAGTTTACACCTGAATTTCTAAAAATTTGTTGAGAAAATCTTTATTTGGAGTGGGGGCAGTTCGAATGCAGGCAGGCCACAGAAACATCCAGTGTGACTTTCTGGATGTGCGAGCTTGTAATTCAGTCAGTACTATTTCTCAACTTAAGACTGCACGTGTTTTATCATTTACAACACATTAACCTTATTTCACTGTTATTTCACTGTTTTACAACACATTAACCTTATTTCACTGTTATTTCACTGTTTTACAACACAATAATAATCTTATTTCACTGTACTCACCGATACACGTATTAACGTTTCAGGCTCGAGTGAAGGAGATGGAAGAAGAGGCGGAGAAGCTGAAGGAATTACAAGCAGAAACAGAGAAAACTATGGGAATGCAGAGTAATGGTACCTCTCCTACAGCTGCAGGTAACTTATATAAACTCTCTCAACATTACTAAACTCTAAAGCTAGAGATAATAACCATCTACACTGGATACTTAAATCTGGATGAAAATTTATATATTTAAAGTTCAGGAGACCACTACTGCTACAAGTAGAGCACATAAAACCTCAGTTTTGGACATGTTCGGGGGATTTGGCCAATTTGGGCATAATTGGGACCAAATATGGGCACCTGTGGGCGGTAAGGGTTCAAGACCCCTCAAAAGTTCGGTCATCGGTCCTAGTTTGTTGGTCAACAAAATCAAGTCTCACAAAAATATACCCCCTCTCAATGATGAAAGATGATCGGGGAATGACTGTCAAATTTTAAAAATAGTAAGTTGTGGTAAAGATATGAGTAATGATAATTTTAATCCTGTATTTACAGCGTTCCCGACCCCCGAAGAAAAAGAAGAAGCAGACAGAAGATCAGTATATGTTGGTAACGTGGATTACAGTTCAACAGCTAAGGAGCTGGAACAACATTTTAGAGGGTGTGGCACTATTAACAGAGTAACAATTCTCTGTGATAAGTTCACTGGCAATCCTAAAGGGTGAGTTTTATCTTTTTTGTAGAATGCTGAGATAAGGCTGATAACAGATCCATGCAAGAGTCCTTGAAAACAAATTATGTTTATTAGTTTAATTTTCCAGAAAGGTGCGACTGCCTTATTTATTGTTTGCAGTCTCCCCTCAATTACATTTCAATCCAGATAAATCAACCTTTTTAGAAAATTTGCCTAAAATTGGGGGTTTTCTAGTATTGTCTCATGGCTTACATAATAAGCGTTGCCAAATGAAACTTGAAACCGGAAATGGTACCACCAAGTCTGCGGTACAGTTCTTTGGAGTTTGGGGTAGACATTGAGTGATAATTAAATTTAAATTACCGTTAACACGACTCCGACAGCACTATTTTCTTGTGTTTGAAGTGATATCTCAAATTTGGCACATAGAAATTCACCCAAACCTACACAGATTATCCGTCCTATAACCATCATACTTTATGGAAAGTTTGGAAAAAATTGTATGGTAGGATCCGACATAGACTATTGTCCGAAAACCCTAATTTCGGAGTAGGGCAGGTGTCTCTGTCGGACACGAGTTGCCCAATCTAATTTACCCCAAACAAACAATCTTGGTTATTTTTGGCAGTTCAAATGCATCGAATCAATAACATAATCAGTAACTTAAAATAACTAAAATTTCTTGATTCATAATCTTATGATAACAATTTCATGGATCTCCTAACTTACCGTGTTTCAGGTTTTCTTATATCGAGTTTTCAGACGAGGCATCAGTAGAGGCCGCTGTAGCACTTCACGAATCTTTGTTCAAAGGTCGACAGATAAAAGTAAGTGTTGGCTTCTCGAAATGTTTGTTCGTGATTCCGTGGTATCACTGCGAACCTGAGTCGTGCGCACTGCACCTATTGCTAGTTATTTGTAGTATTTCCTATAGAAACCAACTAGAGTGTCAGGATTTATTGACCAAGCGCGCTTCATGCGGTCGTATCTCCTATTGGAGGATCTGACCCGGTACCTCAGGTCGACCTCCTCTAACTCCATCCAGGAGAACCCTCTGCCGTTGTCCAGCCTGAGGTACCGGGGCAGCACCCTCCCCAGCGTGGAGATCCTCACGCTCTTCTCTTTCGTCATCTCCAGGCTGTACCGAGACAATTGCCGCATCAGCCAACTGTGAAATACATAAATTAGAACTTATGTATTATTTCGTTGATAATATCCGGTTATCCAACTATCAGTATTTATATGAACGACCCCTAGACATCATCAATATAAATATATATATTAATATATCGACCAAATGCAGTGAGCATAATTACTTCACTTACCGCCATATTTCCCTCTCTCGGGTCCTGATGTTGTGGTTCTCTTTAAACGGACTCGGTTTGAGGCCATGAGTGGTTGTCGAAACCCCACAGAAAAATCTGTTTCCTGTGATGGTTCGACAACCGGCTGCCAGACTTTGGGGCCGAAGTGATATGATCCACCATATATCTAGCCTATTTCTGGGCCAATTAAATTCTACAGATGGATCACATCACTAATTATACGTCACTAATTGGTGACGTGATCTGACTCCTCTTTGGGGGCCGGATCAGTTTTCGGCCCCAAAGTCTCCCAGTGGTCCAACCAGGAATGGCGTAATCCTATCGGATTAGAATCCACGCTAGAACAGCCGTGCGCGCGCGCTTTTAATGTATCACTATAAATTTATTTTAGTTTTAAGTAGTGTAAGTTGTAACACTGCCGGCCATCATGAATACTTCCTGCTACTTGAGTATTTGGAAATTACACCCAAACGAAGGTGTAATTCAATTACGATTTAACTTTATACCGTTTGTTCTGTATAGCCGCAACCAGAAACTCAAACAAACCTTCACCAGGTATCAGTGAAGAGAACGAATCAACCCGGTATGAATCGAGGACGAGGAAGGGGACGAGGCTTCGGGCGAGGTGGTATGGGCTTCATGGGGCCCGGTGGTATGATGTACGTACCTGTACCCATGTCTGGATTCGGGTCGGGATATGGTGGTTCCAGTTATCGAGGCAGTCGGGGAAGGTATGTTTCTTAATCTTAGCTGTACAAATCAGGGAGTTACTTAAAATCAGCAGCGCGAAATTTTGTTGTCTCGCGTCTTTCTGGGTCAATGTTTACAGGATGAAAATGTATTGTGTAGGCGCAAAGGAAGGGCACGGAGAGGATGATCTGACTTAAGACCTCATTAATTAGGATCAAACTTCTTATAAGATATAACGGTTTTCTAGGTTAAACTCAAAATATTCACCGATGGTCGTTGCATCCTCTTAGATAGCGTGTGGGAGAAAAAGAGCTTCATTTATTTTTCGAGTTGTAAATTACTTTGGATTGAAACGAAGGGCAATTGTGGAGCCTGTTCAATAGTAATATAACAGTGAAAACTATCAAATTTAGCCCTGTTCATGACAACATTAGACGCAGCCGAGGTTCATTCCTAGCGTGAGTGTCTGTTTCCATGGTAACTGTGAGTAGTATATCACGTCACTTTTAGTTAGTGTGGAAAAAGAGACAAAAAAAGAGTTCAACAAGCAAAAGAATAAAGAATAAAGCAAAAAAAGTAAAAAACGATTCAAAATATGAAAAACGATCAAAAAAGAATGTTGAACTACCAAAAAAAAAGAAAAACAAGAATATTTTATGAAAACTTAACTCATTTTTAATATTTTTAACAATTTATTTTCTTTGTTTTAAATTACCATTTTACTGATAATTGATATATTATTAACGTTACTTCGATATATGTCTCTACGTAGAATATAGTGATTATCACTAATTAACATATTGTTAAATCCCCTGATAGAGAAAGAAATATCCGAATTTTCTTTATCTAAAACAACTGTCTGTTCAGATCCAGAGGTCGAGCTAGCCACTACACTCCTTACTAATTTCCTCCTAACTCCAACTACTTCTGAAAACAAGAACCAGCGTGATGGCAGAGAGACAGTTGTTCTATTTTACCCCTAATTTTAACTGTATCCGAAAAGTAACACCATTTCAAACTGTTTAAAGCTGATTTCACATTAGTTAACTTGAATCTGTTATATCCTTGGTTGATTCGTCTGTCAAATTCTTTACATTCTAGACGATCCAATATTGCCCAGAGTATTTTACCAAAAAACGGAATTCAACTTTAAAGTTGTAATATTTTGAGTATTAAGATCTTTGACAAAAGCCATGCTGACCAATAACCTTGCCGGACATTATAAATGGACAAATTTCATTTTTAAATTTAAAGTACATAATGGAAAATCTCACCGACCAATTCATGTTTGATATAGAAAAGCGACATGTACATACATATGTATGATAAGATGACGATGGTGACAACAGTAAGGTATAGCTCAACTCGTACATTTGAACAGAACTATTTCCATGAGCAATATTATTATGGACTTCATTATCCGCGCTAAAAGATTTGGTGAGATAACAATGCCCGGTATTGAGTACACAATAGAAAATAACAGTTACGGTTCTTTCTTTATTTAATATTTGCTGTTCCATACAGTTTGCCAAACCAGTTATTTCCAGAGTTGTTTAAATGCTGTTTTATTTGTTCTTTTGGGCAGACAGCCCCCCCCCCACGATCTCGTCTGTAAGTTGAGCGTGCACTTCGATGTGCACAAATTCTGACAACACACCGTGCTTCGTAAGGTCGTTCTAAACCAAAATTATTTAGGTACGCAACTTATGTTGGCAGTCCCAGTGATAGCTTGTTGACATAACAAGCGAAGTAAAGATCATAAGCGCGCCTTATGATAATGCACGCAGCGCATGCGCGCTTATATATTATGGTCGGGACATGTTTTGCGCCAACGAGAACATCATAAATCTTCTAGCGCATTCCATTAAACATGCATGTGGTGGCAACTCCAGAGGATGTTTTCACTGAGTTGTATCGCTGCCCCCATCCTGAATCTGCATTATTATATATATTTATGGGGGCAGAAAATTTTACAATTTCGTAATATTTGATTAAAAAACCCCTAAGATGGTTTCTGGATGGTTTGTTTTGCGGTTCTTATCGTCCTTTCTACTATTCCACTAACAGTATTAGAGTATAACAGAATAAATGGTTTCTAGATGGTGTATTTCACGGTTCGTATTGTTGTTTGCACTAACCTGTGGACCTTTGGACTACAGTCATTGGCATTCATAATTCGATTACGTATATCCGACCGAGCAAGGGAGACTTTACCAAGACTCTCACCAAGGAGACTTTATTAGATAGGCACGGCAGTGGCGTAACGAAAGGCCCTGCTGACCCCGCTGTGCAGGGGGGCGCCGTCTTAGGGGGGCGCCAAATCGTCGTTTGAATGTGGGACAATTTCGAAAACTTAACTAAAGTACTAGCAAAACTGCGCGTTTTGCTCTAGATACACACTTTTTTAGAGATTTTACCGGCGTAGTCTTTAAAATCACCTAATTTGTTCAATTTTAGGGAGGGGCACCAAAAGGGGAGGGGGCGCCAACAGGGGGGCGCTTTTTTCGGCAGGGGGGCGCCAACAGGCAACGTTACGCCACTGAGGCACGGTCAGATTATGATGGGGGCATATAACAATAATAATATTACAAAAATGATAATAATATTACAATTTCGTTACAAATTTAGCGAAAACATCACCTCGGCAACACAACCCAGGACTCGTATTAAGCCTCTAACGTTTTAGCCTTTTAAAGCTGATTACTCAAACAAACAGTTGACTGCAAACCAATCAGTGCAGTAAGAGGCATTTGTCCGAAAGAAAACAATCTTTATCTTACAAGCTTGATATAATTATTAGTTCACCACCTTGCAAATAAGAGCTGTTACCTCAGAAGATTACAAACTCTTCAATTATACTTTGAACCCAAATAATATAGCTAATACCGTAGCTAATATGGATGCATTTGCGAGGCCAAATCTGATTCCATTATTTCTTGATTTAACACCGAGGGGATTGATTAACCATTGAAGTTTCTGCAGAAAATGAGGTAGACTATAGATCTTGATACTGGTAAGACATGTTTTTGCACGTTATCAGCTTCGACTATTGACCACTCAACCTGTCACGTGTATGCTCCCCACCAGAATATGTGGCTGATATAATGTTGTTGTTTATAAATAGATGAAGACTGTGTCTTATATTTTTCTACAGAAGCAGACAGCAGGCAGTGTCGAACGGCCAAACCTGGAGTCATAACTTAATTAAGTTGCAATCATTTTGTTTGCAAAAGTCTAATTCCGCTTCTAGAAACATAACATTAGAGTAATCCCGTAAACAGGCGAGGAATTTCTGGGAATTACTGTGTGATACAACAACAAGCACCTAAAAGGGTAGTCACGCGTAAACTGGAGTTGACTTCATTAATTTATTGCATATTCTGTATATGTGGAGGCCGAATCCGGCAACACTAAGGATCAGATGAAATCAAGTCATTATGATAATTGAATTTATCGACTAAAGATCTCCTCAAAACTCCTCTCTAGCTACCTCAACTCTATTTATACCACTAATAACTCCGTACTCTATGTTATGACTACCTTGTCTTAATTTTCATCAGTGTTCGTTGGACAGTGTCAGAGGTTGTGAACTATGCTTTTTGTTAAAATATTTCTGGTATACTCTGCCTTGATTGGAGTTGTTTATGCACGGATAACTTGCAGCAAGGTAAGAAAAGCTTCAGATATATGTTTTATTTATTCCTGTTTCTTTAATATTGTTTAAAGATTTCATATTTTAAATCCCAACAAAGTTCCCACCGACCATGAAAACACCCAGGCAAACAGAGGAAGAGTCAAGAGTTTCGACCTAGAAACCAACCCCTACGGCTACGTTGTGTTCCCCACAAACGGAGTGAGAGAAGGCACAAAACACATCGCTTTCAACAACTTCGAGCACCTCAAACTGTACAGCAACCAAACCCACATCCTAAGTCTCTATATGCGGGTTATTCTCGCTACTGAGGTGGGGAGACGGGCTACATGCACATGGAATTCGAGCATATAATGGACCCTAGTGGATGTTTTGATATCACTGGGGCGGAGGGGGCATGTACGGAAGACCTAGCAGATAACGTGTTTCCGTTTCTGTCGTTTTGTGAGAAATTCCCTTTCACTGCTAACAGTAAGGCGCTGATTATCAAGTTAGAGTTGGAGGGGAGCTTCATGGTGGTGAGAGGAGCTGGAAATAGGTTCATGGGCAAAGTGGCCTTGCCACATGTAGATTGTGATCCTAGCCGGGAGAGACGAATGGTTAATCGGATAGGTCAGGGGACATTCGGGAGGTTTGTCCCGCAAGTGTGTACTTGAAAGGGAGATTACGGACGGAATGATTGAGGAAAGGTTGCATTTAAGTTGGATAATTTCAAATGATTATTTATCGTACCCTATCATTTTATGTATTTTTGATATTTTAAGAATTTTGGGAACTCAAAATTCAGTGCTCCTACTTAAGTATTTCCAAAAACAGTGACCCTTAATTTGTGATGACTCCTTAGTAGCACACCCTAACACCATAAAATGAGGGACTTGTTTTGATTCTAAATGAAAAGCTGGAATATTATAATCTACACAATCTTTGCATATTTGTGTCTCAAGAACATTCTAAAAATACGAAGTTATATCATTTACAGCATATTTACAGTAAAATCGAGTCTGAGTTCTTTAATAATATATTATTTACAATTAAAGTCGATAATAAGAAGGTTTTTTAACTATACTACTTACGTAACTTTATTCATTTTCAAAACATCAGCATTCAGTTTAATTTTTTTTTTTTTAATCTTATCAAAATCAATTTGTCGACTGTAGAAATGCGACTTTAAGTTTGTCACCAAAAGAGAATTTATTGGTAAAATATCTGGCAAAATATCAGATTCCCAACATTCCCAACATTTAACATTATTTCTTACTCTTATTAAAGGAATAGAACTAAAAGTCAACAAACCAAAGAATATTCACATTTATTATATTCACGAATATTCACCAAAAAAAGATTAATCAATCGTAAATTTTCCTAATAAAGTCCTAATTAAGCAATCAGTCACATGTTCGTTTAAAAAGTTTCATCTGCATTCTGTAGCGTTGAACTAATAAATCACAGAGTTCCGTAATCTATATAGTTTCACAAAATGGGTTTATAGTTCGATGCATCTATTTTATTGAAGTACGAGCAGAAATGGTAGCCCGAATAGTAGGGTTCTACAGCTAGGGTGGCGACTATTTGCAGTGTAAAATCTCTTTACTGGATTCTGTTTTTTATCAACTACTTCTGAAATATAAAGACGTTAATTAATAAAGTCTCCGCTCGCTACCTCCTCACGCTTCATTACAACACTACAAATCTATTACATTTATTGAGTATTATTTACGCGAATGGAATATGTTAATAGCGGGTAATAGATCCTGTCCAAACCCAGGATACATTAACATGAAGACTTTGTTGTAACTTTGTATGAAAAGCCTTAATACAACATTAGTTATAACCAACATGGTCATTTGTTAGAATGTATTATGTATAATACTCTTGTGGGGAGGTGAGGCATATTTTTTGACACGTGGCTAAATAATAAACCAATCAGCTTCCACTATTGACCAATCAAACCCCAGAATGTCACGTGTCAAAAAAACATGCCTCACCTTTCCACCAGAATCCACATCAACATTATATAGTTCATATCCATGAAGTGATTCAGTAAACGTTACCATTTAATAATTACGAGATAAGATAGAATTACCTTTTTCCGTTTCTTTTTCTTTTTCGAACCACCCTTTGATTTCTTAGCCAAACTCTGAATTGTTTTGTAGATGACAGCATCTATTCTGCATGTCACCAACAACTGTATGTTCTTCAGCCCCGCTGTAATTTAATTAATAATTAGTTAGTTTTTTAATTGATCGTTTACTGGTTATACTTCAATAAATAAATAATCTAGTCCTCCATTTACATCTTCTAATAAATCTAATAAATCATTTAAATACAACACAACTAAATTACTTACTTAACAATTTAATTACCCATTTAACTTATTTTACAACTTATTGATAATTTAACTAATTATTCCCGTACCTGTGCCTAACTAATTAACTAATTAATTAATTAATTTACTGTGCTCTCTCTGTAAGGACGTCCATAAGCTCCCTGGCGGCCAAATCTCCGACCGCACCTCACTTACACTTAAATCACACACGCTGTCTAGAGAGCATGTGGACTGCGAGCATCGAGACTCTACTCTCTCTGTAATTAGCAATTAGTAATTGTAAGTCAAATAAAGGTCTTAAGTATTCCTCTCAACGCCAGACCATCCAGATATATGAGTTTAAAATAACCATTCACTAATCAATAATCAGCTATTACAAATCAGTTATAAACTAATCAGTTTATAAACTCAAATCAGTTACCCCATCACCCCATGACGAATAGAGGAGATACACACGTTATACAATTAACTCGCAGTGCTCTCTCTCACACACGTCCTCCGCTCCGGTATAACTAATCAGTTATAATAAGGTAGCTCTATGCTTTCTCAACTACTTCACGCTCCACAATAAACTAATCAGTTATAACTAATCAGTTATAACTAATCAGTTATAACTAATCAGTTATAACTATCGTGTAGCCTCATGTGTAGAACTAACCTCAATCTGTGTACCCTGCCCTTAGGATGTTCTGTCAATTATAACTAATCAGATAACTAATCAGCAGTACCCCTATATTAATTCAATTATCTGGTTGTGTAGTTAGTTACCTCCCCACTCTGAGTACCAGATACGAGATGTGGTGGTGTGTGTGGTGTCGGGACCCTTTGGTTGCCTTTACCGTGAGAATCAATACCGTTATCAGCTATTAGTAAGCTCTTCAACGGGATATCCTGGATAAGTAGAATAATTTCATTAAATAAATACCGCAGATTTATATTTAGATATTATAGATATATATTAATATGTTTTATTTAGTTTTATTTAGAAATATGCGGCGTTCTGATTTTGTTCGTCTATATGACGCAATGTAACGGTGATGTGAAATACTAGCTGTTTTGTCAAAAATCTCTGATTTATAATATTCAAAACCACGTGTCTTCGAGATAAAGTTAACGTTAGAATCGCCAATGTAAATGTAAAGGGGGCCGGGGGGGTCCTAAAGGGCTATTTTTAGAAAAAAAAAGAAGAGGCAGTTAGAGAACAAGTTAAAATTGAACCAATTTAGACCAATGAAACACCAGAATCACGACCCATTGAGTCAACTTTAATTTTTCTACATCTATAGTTAATACCTGGGTACCCAATAGACGTAAGCCACTAATGACGGGACGGTTAGCCTCCAATAGGGAGGTACCCCTGCGCGCGCCCGCCCTGCCCCCAACATTTTTTAAAAAAATACCTGGGCTACAGAGGACATCCTTCTAGCTGAGCCCCCCCAGTACCATCACACTGCAGGCCGCGGCCGCACAGGTAACACGCACTGCTGCGCTCTGAGAAATCGCTCCTAATGCGACCGTGGCATTGAACAAAGTCACGTGATATTTAAATGTCGTTTGAACATCTTTCTGACAAGAAATATTTAAAGGTGATTTACAGGACGTGTTTAATAAACTCACACTATAGTAGATTTGGTGAGAAGCTCAGCAATGAGAGCCCCGCTAGGTATGGTAAGATCACAGTAGTTCACCGAAAAAGGTGTTTTAGTTCGGTGTTACCAGAGAGGCAAACCAGCAGGTTAGCCATCCCTTCGTCCCCAAACCTGCGGGAGATAATTAATTACCGGTCTTAAAACTTGATCAATGCAATTACACATCAGTAATATGGTTTCTAGGATGAGGAGTAGGGAGGCGATGAAGAGCTTATAAATTTACCAACCAGCTTAAAAGAGCAGTACCCAGTAGAATGGGTGTCCGGTAGCCATTTAAATGCAATGTAAGTGTTTTGGGGGAGAATCGAGACAGACATTCAAGTTTAAGTTTGTTTTTAGGGAAACATTGGGATGAATATTGGATTAAGGAAATTCGTTAAAATGGGGTTGAAAACCCGGGGCCCTTTCTCCCCGTCAGAACATATCATAAAATACTTGGTCACTTCACGTGTCAGTGCACGTGTCACTGCACGTGTCACTGCACGTGTCACTGGACACTGACCGAGTAACTCTGCACTGCCAGACGTGATAAGATGTAGCATGCGAGGAAATGTATCCTCACACCTCACACCTCACTTCAGCCCGGGAGGGAGCACTGATAAACCTGTTTCCAATCCGGGGGTCAGACCAACTTGTAGAGCTGATGCAGCTTGCTTGTTACTGGTCATGTAGTGTCACGTGATGTGTCGCGTGATGTGTCGCGTGATGTAGTGTCACGTGATGTGTCACGTGATGTAGTGTCACGTGATGTAGTGTCACGTGATGTAGTGTCACGTGATGTGTTAACTGTTAAGCCAGGTTTGTGTTGTGTGATACATTTGGATTTCACGGGTTATACGCTTTGTGAAGTAGAGTCAAAACTAATTTACTACATCCACTGACCAATAACAAATAGTATTCACTTTTAGGAAGCGCTGATAAAATCAACCTACTTTTTGATTTGTTATCAGTCCAACAAAAACATCGGCTCCTGCCTCCTACAACTATTCCTATACTTCTAAAAGTATTTCTATGCTCCTACTTCTTATACTCATATACTATTTTTGGCAAGTAGTATAAATTACTGGCAGTTCAGTTGATCGTCTAACATGAGACATATTGCTCATGCTAATAGCACACAGCAATGTGGCTATATAATATAAGCTATCTAGTATGCACGGGCACATGGCCTATAATTTGTTGTTTTTAGCCAGAAGTGTGGTCAACATTTGGTCAACATGGAGCTAGCGTGATGATGATAAGACTATAAATACATATTATTAATTATTACAATATACTATTGGATTGGCTCATTGGCTGTGAGTCTGAGTAGCAATCTCTGCTCAATATCCTTCAAGTTTTAGTTTACTACAGTCAATGAGCCAATGAAATGGAAGCAGCATGCATTAAGGATAAACATCACGTCATAGCTCTGATAATGATGACATTGACATGATTACTGTTCACATAACGTCACTAATCACTATATGAGGTGGGGTTATAAAAGTGTGTATACTTTCTGACGGAGGAGGAAAGGGGTCTGGGTGGAGTAATGTTATAAAAGTGTGTAAACTTTATGACGAAGGATAAGAGGGGTCTGGGTGGAGTAATGTTATAAAAGTGTGTAAACTTTCTGACGGAGGATGAGAGGGGTCTGGGTGGAGTAATGTTATAAAAGTGTGTAAACTTTATGACGGAGGATGAGAGGGGTCTGGGTGGAGTAATGTTATAAAAGTGTGTAAACTTTCTGACGGAGGAGGAGAGGGGTCTGGCTTGATACAATGGCACACAACTAAAGATCTGGATACTGGTGGGGAGGTGATTCTTCTTCTTCGTAGGGGGCTGTGGTCATGATAGAGCATTGGAGCCCTGAGTTTAACCCGGTCAAATTTTCGAATGTGGAAAGTAAAAGTAAAACTTCGAGTTTTTCCACATTTGGCGAAACGTTTTGTCGCGTTTTATGGAAAGATCACTTTGGGCGCCGACCAATAAAGTGATTAGCAATCAGCTACAAGCCTTGAAACATCAAAACCCATAATCATTGTCACGTGGTTCCCCCCCCCCCTCACCAGTATCTAGAATCTTAGAACTGGTTACATCCGAGGAGCACAAAGGCTGATTACAGTTATAACTTACACTATCATGATATATATTATATCAGAATAATAATATTTACATTTTACATTTCATCTGTATTTATTAATCCGAATAACATGTTATCTAATAATCAATAATCAATTATATTCTAGCTCTTTTGAAGTTCATTTTATTAACAGCTACAGCGCTAAGGCCGCATTTCGATTGTTATTTTTAAGGAGATTCTTTATCCTTAATCCTTTATATTGCAGACCAGATGCTCATTACTTTAGTGTTTTAAAATAGATTTATCCTACGTAAAACTGCTTTTATTTGCAAAACATGTAGATTTTTAAAGATTTCAAAACAAGCATTGCATAACAAACTTCAGTTCTTGCCGCGCGATTAATCTGGAATTATTCAACTGGAACGTTACAATAGTTTTACATAAGTTAACAAAGAACTGATTATTAGAACTGATATACCGTACAAGAATATTTATATGTACGAAATGTGGCGGTTTTCCGAAATTTTCGCCCATATTTTCGGACCGCCAAAAATTTCGGTCGTCGTATAGATCGTCGCATTATCTTTTAGCTTATTTCAATGACTTTGCCTGCACTGCTTTATTTCGTTTCTAAAAAGTAATATCAAAGTAAAAATAAAATAATTAAATTCTGGGCTCTTGGGACAAAAATTATCACCACAACCATGACGAATTGAATGTCAAGCAATACAGTTTAAAATTTGCATTAAAAATACTGTATGTGCAACATGAAAGTCTTACATGTCTTAATACTGCCTAAGTTTGAAACATGATTTTACCGAAATTTCAGAAATTTCCTTACTGTTATACTGTTCACACAAAAACATGATGAAAAGATACCCTTATTTTTGGTGACGTCCGAATTTGCGGTTTTTGTTCATTGCGCATATTTTCGGATCGCCATATTTTTCAGTCGGTCGCAAATTAGGCGCCATAAAATATGTCTTGTAAGGTATTAGTTTATAGAGTATTTAGTTACCTGTTGTAATCGAGCACTAGCTTTTTCAATCTTCCAACGGGAAAGGTCCTGCAATGAATTAATTGATAAGATTAGCGGGAAATTACTGCGCTGGATGAATTAACTAAAGACACACTGAAGATGGTTCAGAAGTCTTGCAAGGATGTAATTTTTCAATAACTTTTTATCTATCTGGCTAAAATTCATTCTGTGCAAAATACTGGTAGGTCTCAGGATTAATAGCAACTTCTGTATTGTGGGGGGGGGGTGTCCAAATATTATTGATCATGGAAATTAATGTTATGGTATTTTCTAATCGTTTAATTGATATCTACCCTACTACTTTACTCAATCTACATCAGATAGTCTATACAACATGCTCCTGGCTCCTGTAGAATGTAGATACCTGGCAGGTAATATCATAGTGTTTATAGTGTACTGCTCCTACAACACTATGTGCACTCGACACCTGTGACTTGTCTTAACTTATGATGGTTACTGTGATAATATGTTGCCATGACAACCATTCCGTGTTATTTGATAACTCCTCTAAGGAGATGATATATGGTCGCATGCCTGAATTACATTACTTAACGTGGATGTAAATTTGATTTTCTTTGGAAATTTGATTTTCTTTGGATCGTTGTCCGTTATAACATTAAGTTAAGACTAAAGAGGCCGGTTTATATGTACGTATAAACTTACGATAAGTAATTAGTAATCTCCTTTATAACATCATATAAATGACGGCTTACGTTACTGTGAATTGGATCAGAATGCAGACTCAATAGCACAACGTAATCAAATTGCTTTTGTGATAAGCATGTTGAATATTATGTGGTCGGTTATTACATTTTGAATATATAACTTACTTCAGAAACTTAGTGGGTTAATATGTTTATGTACAACTACAATGTTTATGTACAACTTAGAAAACAAAAACTTTAAAAATTTCTTTAGAGCTAACAGATAAGCAATAATAATAATAAGCAATAAGCATGCTTAATGTTATCGCCAGAAACTAAGCCCAACAAATCATGAATCGATCATTGATTGTTTTTAAATTGTTAAAAATACACAAATTAAGGAACTTAATTTTGTTTGCAATCAAATAACCACTTCAGGTGTACTGTATACGTTATTCATGAGTTTACCATAACATATCCTGCCTGTACTTCAAGCAAATGATAAAGCCATCGTTAATTTCGCTAATGCATTCTGCACGGCAAATATCTATTTTCTTAAGTGGATCATTCTTGACATGATGGATTTGTCGCATGTAAGCCGCGAAGTTATCACGTTTTGTTGGCGGACGACATTCCATTGGAGCATTTTGGAGGGCTATAACACATTTGTTTATTAAAGATGTGAGAATTTATAAATAAGTGTTTAAAAAATGTGATGGGAGATAATTATCTGTGGTTGTTCTTCATTACAGAATATGACTTGTACTTGACCGCCGTACTTTCTGGAAATTACTGTACATCAAACAATAGTTACGGTAGCATGCACGGTTGAGCCGAGGTTAAACTGTTGTGAGTGTGGTAAATCTTTTAATGTGTCCTTAGTCTTCAATGCTTGATTACGTGAAGAGTGTCCGTGAAATCAAGCTAGCAGTTTTGCAGTCTTGCACGCAAAAACACCCGATAACACAAAAAACAATTACAATACACACCTCTCAGTACATCATACAAAATATCTGTAGATTACAGAATTATTATCATCATCGTCACACCATACAAGACATGATAATATGTAGAAGTGTGGTAATACAAAAAATACCAATTAATAATTAATACAAACAGGTCATACCACTGCTTTAAAGTTTAACCTAACCACGAGATTTTAAGCCTACAAATACAGATATTAAATGATAAAATACCAACCTGCTAAGACGGCCTAAAGCGAAGTCAGAGAGACCGGTATCGATTAGTTCTATTGTAGAAACATTTTTCCAACAAGGGGTCTCTAACAGTAGAGCCTGGAAAGAAAGTTATGTATCAAAATGATACATATTACATGCAAATAGCATTAATCGTGAGACGGACGGTATTTAGCTACATTGCTTCCTATCTTTATTCACGTATTCGATTATGTACTATAATGGTTTAAATGTTTCCGTTTAAGTAAAACCGCCGTCAATCCCGGTTTCGGCATGCAGTATATTTTACAAATTTTGCGGATTCGCTGGAAAACGCAGATAGAACATCGTTGAAGGACATTTTAAACACAGTACAGCTGAAATTAATCGGATGAAACAAGAATGGTACTTAAAGAAGGGAGAGGTAACTGGGAGGTAATTGGGAGGTATCAGGTAACTATGGGGTAACTGGGAGGTAACTAGGGAGGTAACTGGGAGGTTACTGGGAGGTATCAGGTAACTATGGGGTAACTGGGAGGTAACTAGAGAGATAACAGGGTGAAGGTAACTGGGCGGAGGTAACTGGGAGGTAACTGACCATATCAATTATATCGCTGTCTGATATTGGTGTTCTCCAGCAGTAAATCTCTCGAATCTGAATAAAAAAGCTTATTATTAAATAAATAGTTAGAACATGAAGAGTAACAAATATTTTAAAGCTACTAGCTGTGAACATTTAATAAGAACGAATATATATAACAGCAACAAAACTTCAAACCTCGGCTCATTTATTAACGAATCATGTTCAAGGAGAAATGTAAAGTAAATGAGCAGACCAACAAAGAATTTGTAAGATTACCTTCATATAGCAAACGGCACGTAAGGCCTGTATCAGACATGACAGGGAAACAGGTTTGTTTGTAGGACCACCTGACAGCACAAACTGAAATTTACCTATCATTATATCCGAGTAAATTATATTCACCTTGGCATCAACCAAAAACTACAAAATTTAAGCGCTTTATTATGCCAAAATTTTGAAAATTTAGTAATTATACAAGACAATTGTCAACAATTTAGCAATTAATATCGACCAACCTTTGATACGAACTGGTTCTTGTCGATGCCTTGTCTCAAGTCCTCTTCAATAGAAGGGCTAACATATGTAGAATGGCCATATACACTGGATTGGTACGCTTTCAATAGAGCTTTCACCTGAGAGAAATTAGTGACAAGGAATATTAATGGTCTGTGTATGTACTATGTAATAAATTGAATGAAAAACTATCAAGTATAGTTAGTTTTATTTAGTGGGCCAGTTGTAGACTACGACTAACAGCTGTTTTGAGTCATTAAAATCAAAACGGAATTAGAAGAAGTCATGAAAATAAGAAACCCAGATGAATGCAAAAAAAAAACATTTTAGTCAACAGGTTCAAAAGAAGTTGCAGAAATACCTGTACTGAAGGAGCAGGCTCAAGAGCAGATGATACTTTACTCTTCTTTTGCTTTTTCTTCTTCTTAACATTTGGAGGCATCCCTAAATTGTGCATCTTAATTATATCTGAAGATAATATAGTATAAATATTTCCCCCTGTGGATAACTGTTTCTTAACTACCCAGCAGTTCTTCGCAGGAGTTTATTTTTATTACGAGAGGCTGAACCAGAGGACCTGGTTAACCCACAAGAGGATAGCATGGCTTACACTGGGATGTGGTAACCCCATGGCCCCCAGGAGGGTACATCTATAGGAAGATGAAGGAGGTAAAGTGACGAGTGGAACTAGGAAAATTTAAAACACAGATAAAGAGCAATTAAGCAGCATGAAAATAAAGTCTTTCTGATTTGATTCAGTTCCTCAAGAATATTGATGCATGTCGTAAAGTTATTAGTCAAACCTCTATATTAAAATGAATATAAGAATATAGGAAATGATGTTACGAAGTCGATATATTTTAATGTTGCTATGGGGTGGCAAGTCCCCATAATCCAGTTGGGTATCGAAAGGGACTACCCTGCGGACCCGCTGTGCGGGGGGGCGCGTCTTTAGGGGGGCGCCAAATTCGTCGTTTTGAATGTGACAATTTCGAAACTGAACTAAAGTACTAGAAAACTGCGCATTTGTACTCTCGGATACACACTTTTTTAGAGATTTTACCGGCGTATTCTCTAAAATCACCTAATTTGTTTCATTTTAGGGAGGGCACCAAAAGGGGAGGGGGGCCAACAGGGGGCGCGCTTTTTTTTCGCTGGGGGGCGCCAACAGGCAACGTTACGCCACTGCATACATCGTAGTCCGATAGTTTCACTGCGTCATAATATATAAGGGTCTCTCTATACCAATATAATGACATCACATTTTGTGGTGAATTGAGTACCTATCTCATCGCAATACGAGACATTTAAAGCCCTAATGGCATATTCCATATTCTAGCCGACTTGACGTTTGGTCGTCGTGTTGAAAATATTTGGGGTACAAAAAGCTGTAGGGGCATCAGAGAGAAGACCTGGCAGCAGGATAAAAATACTATATAGTCAAGGAATTAGTGTAGACTAGTTATAGTTGAGCCTCCTTCCCTCAACTATACGGAGAGGACAACTAAACTGAGAGGACATATGAAAACATGGTTAGAAATCAGATTAGGCAGCAACACTAAACTGGAATATGTGATAGAGGTTGTAAGAGTTCCAACATAAAACAATATTACGGGACGACTCATTTACCTGAAGACCTCTAGCTTTTCTGTTCACAAAGCCCAAAGGTGTGGCAGAACGACAGGCTGAGCGCCGCTCAGTGACGACTCAAGTGAAATTATGACAGGATTCGCTGTGGCGCTCGATTTTCTTACTTTGAATTTGCAAAAATGTGCGCGCGGACATAAAATTAGTACTAGTTTCATTTTTAAATAATTTAGATTTATAAATAATGGATTAGATTTATTTAAATTAATTTTTTATAAAGTTTACCAAACAAATAAAAGTAAGTTTTTACCAAGGAAAATAAAATTTTTTTATTATCATTTGTCGTTGTAGCGCGATGCACTACTGGGTCGCGCGCGCGCATCCAATAATGCTTCTCGCAACCTTCGGTAGATCGGCAAGATGCACCACTGTGCCTCACCGAGCTGCGAAGGATTGACATCGTGAATCAACATTTGTCGTTAATTTTATTTTGTGCGGCTCTCAAATTTAAGTTTATGCAATTTAATGTGCCCATTTAATGTGCCCATTTAATGTGCCCATGCTAACTATTCGCTCCGTAACGCAATTGACAAGTTTTCTACTTCCATTCACACGCGTGTACTATTTGCCGATACGATGACAAATCGACACCTTAATCATTAATCATTTATAATATTGTACACTGCCGATACGATAACAAATCAAAATTTTAATATTGTATATTTATCATCTAATATTATTTTAATTCCAAAACCCAAAAAAGTTTTGGCATTTCTTGGTACTTTGATGTAATGCAGTATGTGGACACATTCTTTGTAAATCTCATGAAAATATTAATCCTATAATGTATTTAATATAAATACGGATTGAAATCATTTAAAATTGTAACTATGAACTAACATTTTCAGTGTTAACTACGCCGCGCATATTTTCGCAGATTTATACCGTAGTATGAAAATCGAGCGCTAAAGCAAATTCTGCCTCAAATTCACAAGAATTTCTTTAGTGATATCGTTTCCTGTTGCAACATATGTGAATATATTAAAATTTAAAACTTTCCAAACGGAGGCATATAATATTATTATATTATGATTGTAAAATAAAGGATAAAAATTTTATTTGTTGTTTTCACTAATATTTGTTTCCTAACACCTACACTCTACAGGGTTTCTACAGTGGCGTCGTAACGTTGCCTGTTGGCGCCCCCTGCCGAAAAAAGCGCCCACTGAGTGGCGCCCCTCCCCTTTTGGTTGCCCCTCCCTAAAAATTGAAAACTTAGGTGATTTTAAAGACTACGCGGTAATTCTCTAAAAAGTGTGTACTAGAGCAAAACGCGCAGTTTTGCTAGTACTTTAGTTAAGTTTTCGAAATTGTCCCACATTCAAAACGACGAGTTGGCCCCCCTATGACGGCGCCCCCTGCACAGCGGGGTCAGCAGGGCCTTTCGTTACGCCACTGGGTTTCTATACTGTACATGTCACTTTTGTGTTGTTGCCTAATCCGATTTTTTTCAGGTGTCCTCGCGAATGAGGGAAGGGGGCTAAACTAATCTATAGTCCATGTAATAAGCGCCATGAGCTGGCACAGAATTTTTTGTCTCTGATTTTGATAAATTTGGTACCAAAAGTTGCCCTCTAAGTGTGAATATGAAAATTCACCGTGTAGCACGATAACGTCGAGCTGTATGTGGGCCTTTGTGCCTCGCCAAGAGTTGTTCAAAGGACCGAAAATGGGTAATTTATTGCTTAAAATGCCTATAAATCTAAAATATTGGATTGTTGAAATAATTCATACAGAATCGTAATGAACTTAGTCAGAACGCACTTTTAGTTCAAAATTATAATATTTTGAAGCACAAAAGGTTGCAAGAATTTGTTCAAAAATTTCACGAAGGGGGGGACCCTTGTGTTTCAGATTAAATTTTGAAAAGAATTTTCCTTTAAATCTTAAAATATTAGTACTAATGTTTCGTCTCGATGGCTGATTACGATGCCATAATGATTATGTGATAGGCCGAACATAAAAATTGCGCGAAAAAAGAACGCGCGGCGAAACAAGCGTTGTATAGCATTTTTAGCTGAATGCTACACGGTGGATTTAAAAATTTTTTTTATTCACATTTTTAGAAACTTTTGGTACCAAATTTATCGAAATGGAGCGAAAAAAAGTTCTGTGCTCGCGCTTGGCGCTTATTACACTGACTACTATACTAATTCCCATTGTTTTTATTATATTTTTATCCTGCAGTAGCTGACTACATGCAGCATCGTTCTTTATTGATTTCACTACTCTTAATCTTAATTGCTTGATACTGAAATTATTTGAATAGTTCCTCTGACTTGTATCTACTCTTGTCGTATGTATGTGATTACTAGTAATTTTGAATAATTAACAGTTTCGTTACATGATATTACATTGTGAGTATTTTAAGGGGGTAAGATTCAAATCAGTTAGTCTTATTCAATTTCTACCGTCTCCAATTGTTAAGCTGACAAGGATCACACTCATATGATGATGAAAATCTAAAATGTATGGCTACAATGAGCATTTTAATAACAATGTTAATTCAATCTTTAAAAAATAATAATAATAATCCATACAGTTGTCAGTTACATAATCGAAATTCCTAAAAAGTACCATGTAATAATATTAAAACCGATGTGCATATAATGTATGTACTTCACAAACTTCTTATTTGCCATGTAACCCGGAAAATGTGTTCAGACATGAAAGGTCAGGCCACTGCTTGAACTCTTTAAATTGTACAAAGAATTCATTTGATACAAATTTCATATAAATAATTGTTGTACTTCAAAAAGTTTCCAATAAACATGTAAATATTTCATCAAATGTAATATTTTCCATTATTTAGCAAGTGTTGTGGTTAGGACTAGTGAAAAGACTTAGCAATGAATTCTCGACATCTGCTGTCTGGATGCAGACGTGTGTTGGCCGCCAAACTTCAATTCCCCCTCAACACTGTTAGTTCATTATTTCGTGATTCATTATTATTTGTTGTATGAATTCTGTATTTCAAAAATGTGATTTTTAAAAGTATAAAATTTGAAAATATTTAATTTCTTTCTGATTAATAATCAATAAACTATTCGCAACGTTTCAGCAAACACGATCCTTGAACCTCCATGAGCATTATTCATTGGGACTTTTAGATGAGGAAGGTGTACCTGTACCACGTGGAGCTGTCGCTAGCTCACCTGCTCAAGTTAGATCTGTCATTGACGGATATGGTAAGTGGAGTATTAACATGGCTGATCAATATTTTTTGTAAAAATGTTACATCGGTTTTGTTGGAAAAAATTACCATTTGATCATTCTTGCATAACTTTATCACTCCCTTTAACTCAATACTGTTCAAGCTTCATATTTTCCATTTTTGAATGAAAAACGGCAGAAGAATATCACACATGTTCATCACAAAACACACTTGCCACCAAAACTTTTACATACATTCCCCTCATAAAATACCATACTGTACTTTCTTCTCAGTATTACACAATATTACTGTATAAAATATGATAATTTTTCGTCATATTTTAAATAAAATCTGAAAGTTACACTCCAACTAGGTTTGACAGATGCTGTGTTAAAAGCTCAAGTTTTGGCTGGTGGTCGTGGCAAAGGCCACTTCTCTTCTGGTCTCAAAGGAGGAGTTCAGATCTGCTACAGGTTTATATTCAGCAGACTTATAATTAATATTTAATTATTTTATAATAATCAAGTTTATTTTTCTAAAGTTCTCCTCCGGCCAAACAGTATGCAACTTATATTGCAGTATCATTGTTTCCTTAGTTGTATATCAAAATTATGCTACAGCACAGGTTTATATTCAGCAGAGACCGCTTCAGTTAAAATTGGTATTTATTACATTAACTTTAGTTGTACTATAACATTAATGTAGTTCCTGGATTTTTATACAATCTTCATCCTATCCCTTACTTCTATATTCAGTATCGAAGAGGCAGTCAAGACATCCGAGGAAATGTTAGGACACACTTTGTTCACAAAACATACTGGTAAGTGATGGATCTGTACTCGTAATTGAGACCCATTATCTCTCATCGAGAAGAGTTGGCCTCTAAATCCCGTGCTCTCAATGTCTCTCACTCTATTGCAACTTTAGCAGCTGAGGTTTAGATAAATTTTATTCCAAAATAAGGATAATACTTTTAACTTGAACCGACTGTAAGCCCCAACTTTAGGAGCCTGTGTTTACAGGTACGAGAGCTGTAAATCACCCTTATAACTAAAACTTCTGCAGGTGAACAAGGAAGACCGTGTAATGATGTCATGGTCTGTGAGAGAGTTTACTGCAGGAAAGAGTTCTACTTCGCCATAGTCATGGACCGTGATACTAACGTAAGTAACTTCTAAAACTCCCCCCCCCCCCCTAGCTTCATAGATATCTGGATACTATAACTAGTGGGAGGTTAATCACATGTGACTGGGTTTACCCCATCAGATACCAGCTTTAAAGAAGCCATATTAATCATTGTCACGTGTCAAGAATGGTTCACATTCCTACTATGCCAGTATTTACAACTATTGACACGCACTGTAGAGCTGTAGTTCGACAAACCCTAAAGTTCGACTCTGTCGACTAGAGTGCACTACATGGACTCTAGTTCGACACGTACTGAAGTTCGACAAGAGATCTGCGACTTCAATATTGTTCATTGAACAATTTTGAGTCAATTTGCCACTTATACAAAATATGTGCATCAATTTACTAGCTAATCTACAAGTAAGGGCCACAACAAGACGACGCTTTTAAATGACCGGCTTAATTTCAGGGCCCCTGTATGATAGTCAGTACCGAGGGGGGAATGAACATCGAAGACGTCGCTAGAGACAATCCTGACGCTATAATTAGAGTACCCGTGGATATTAATAACGGTATGTTATCCTTATCTGCACTTTCTATTTTATTATCACTTTAAGTTATATTCAGGGCGTAATGTTATGAGATTATGTTATTATATTATGAGATAATGTTATTATATTATGAGATTATATTACACATCTACAGTGAAAGAAGTTGAACTTCTTGTTCTTTCATGTAAACTCTGGGACCGTTCACCATGTTCACCAATAAATGGTAATTATTTGATCAATTAATGGTAATTATTTTTGATGGTAATTAAATTGTTGATAACTTTGTCTTCATCACACACTTCTCCAGGAATATCAGACGCAGAAACTAGCCAAGTGGCGGACGCACTGGGCCTCAGCGGCGAACAGAGAGACCAATGTAAATTCGCAGTGGAGAGACTTTATAATCTGTTTGTTAAGTACGATGGAACACTTCTGGAGATTAACCCTCTGGCTGAACTGACTGATGGTCGAGGTTTGGTGTAGTTTATTATTTGTGTGATCTTGGAATTCGTGAAATACTTGTTTCTGGGATTACTTTATAGTTTTTGGCTGGACCCATGTCATGCCCTTGTTTATATTATGAACACAAGATTATCAAAACCTATACAAGTTATATTTTCATAAATCTCATCTAGTATCCAATAAAACCCTCTAAACATCTTGAACTATAATTTAAATCTATACTCAGTTCTCTGCTTGGATTGCAAGATTAACTTTAACCTCTCTCCTATAGACTCTCTCTCACTCTCTCTCTCTCTCTCTCTCTTCTCTCTCTCTCTCTCTCTCTCTCTCTCTCTTCTCTCTCTCTTCTTTCTCTCTCTCTCTCTTCTCTCTTCTCTCTCTCTCTCTCTCCACTTCTCTTTCTTCTCTCTCTCTCTCTCCTCTCTCTCTCTCTCTCTTCTTCTCTCTCTCTCGCTCTCCTCTCTCTCTCTCTCTCTCTCTCTCTCTCAAACTATAATTTAAATCTATATTCAGTTCTCTGCTTGGATTGCAAGATTAACTTTGACGATAACGCTGAGTACCGACACCCTGAACTTTTCAAGAAGCGAGACTGGACCCAGGAGGACCAGAGGATGTTGAGGCAAACATAACCAACCCCCCCCCACCGGACTCAAAACTACATTGGTTCCTAGACGCAGTATCGGGTGTTTTGGGCAGTATGTCTTCTACGTCCTCTAGCAGTCCTATATGTGAGGAGTATAGTCAGAATTTCAGCTAATTTGATAGGATTTTTTAAGAAATTTGTTATTTTTTCTGTTTTTATCAAGGATAATTATAGTTAGGCAGAATGGAACCTAAATCAATGTCTTATCAAACTATAACTCTTTGCAGTAAACGGCCGTCCACGCTTCGCCTAGCAATGGCCTACCAATGGATCATCTCACACGCCCGTTGGAGATCCCATGCCATTTCCCATTGATGTGGAGCCTGTGCAACCCGCCGCCAGTCCACTGGGCTTTCAAAATTATCTCATCTGATCCTAAGGTATGCGGGGTTGCTTTTTATATCCGCCTAAATTGTGAGTTCAATTATATTTTCATTCATTTAAATTTGATCGGCGATATTCAGGATATCTATACAGTCTAAGTAATTGAATATTGTTTTATATATTGTATTATTAAATAAGTGATTCATTACCTTGAACAGGTGAAAGCGATATTGGTCAACATTTTTGGTGGTTAGTATGATGATGCGGACGTTATGCTCAAGTATTCTTTGATGGCCGCGATTAACCTCGAACTTGAGATTCCTCTTATTGTTAGACTACAAGGTTAGTGCCCTTATTTTTTATGTTGGGAAGTAGTAAAGGGTGGATAAAAAATAGGCTCATAATGGGCATGGGCGGTTGTAATTTTAAGAATGGAAATACAAATTGTAAATAAAATTGACAGGATCTGAATTAGAATTGAAATCAAGTTTACTAGCAATTAATACAATTATATGATATTGATAATAATTTAAAGAGGCTTCTACGAGCTGTCAAAATAGTCCAATCAGAATTGTTAACAGATCACCTTGCCAAAAACCCGTTGATATTGTAATTTATGTAAAGATTAAATAAATAAATCGTTGATTTATAATAAGTTAATAAGTAATAAATTAATATATTATAGAGTGAGTTTTGTGATAATTAAAAACTGTTGGCATGAAGGTAGGTTTGAAAATTTATTCGCGGAAATAACAACACTTGGAAATAACAGTTAGAGCTATGCAGTATGCATAGCAGTGTTATATTCAATTTGAAGTTTAAAACCAATAAAACATTATACATGCTAATAGTATAGTATTACTATACTAGAAAGTACACACTAACTAGAACGGAGCCAGCCAGATCATTGGGTGATCAAGATACATCGTCCAACTTTTATAAATAAATGACAAAAGACAAAGAGTTTAAGGTTTTTCCACTCGAGGCTGATGCTCATGACTATACTATGGTGACTTTGAAACAACTTAAAATCATTTATGGCTTGTTGTCCTCATTTATGGCTTGTTTTCCTCATTTAGGGCTTGTTTTCCTCATTTAGGGCTTGTTTTCTTCATCTCTACCTGTGTTGTTGTCTTCACGTCTCATTGTCAGCTCCACAGCATTGACTCCCATGTTGTGACGTTATAACACGTGGTGTGACATCATAACACGTGGTGTGACGTTAGAACACGTGACATTGACTACTGGGTCAGATCTAGATAGCCTTTCTTTGACGTTCCCTGGATATCATAAACAAATTGTCTCATTTCTCTTTTTCTGGTCAAGTAAATCGGGTTAACTGTTGAGCTGCGGTTCGTCGATAACGAGAAAATTATGTCTCGATAAGCATATAGGAATGCGTTATCCTCAATTAAATAAAATTTAACACAAAATTGGATAACAGGGCCAGATATCATGAATGCGTTGACAGCGAAAAATGCTACTGAAAGAATTAAAACTGTTATCGTAGCGCGTCTGTTCCCGTTGCTTCCTTCTATTTTGCGTTCTGGTTCATTTTTGCGCAACAGCCAATACGATGTTATGCCAGTTGAAATAACAACTGTAATGACACTCAACAATGTGCCCATTGGATAGAATATTGCGTAATAACTTTTTACAGTGTCCAATCTGTCCATGTTCCCCGTCGGCTTAATATAGCCGAAGTAGTATAGTGTGAATTCCCTTATACACGAATAAAGCAAATACAATATGAAACTAACTGTTAATGAACCCTTGATGATATAGAAAGGTCGACAAACTTTAATTGTTCTCGTCACCGCTATGAGACATGTCGCGAATCCTGTACAATCATAAGATACAGCAAAGGGGAAGGCAAAGGTGAGGTAAATGGTTTTATAAATATTATATCCAACCATAAATTGATTTGGTAAGTAAAACTGCACAGATATTGACGTCGCCAAGCTGGAACCACAGACAAACAGGTCAAATGAGTTGAGCAATATTAGCAGCTTGTTTCCGAGTCCTTTACTTTGTATTTTAAAGAAGTAGGAAAGTGAGAGACTGTTTGCAGTTATTCCGATGACATCTATGAGGATTGTTATCACCCGTAAAGGAATTTGGTAGTGTGCCATTTCCTAAAATATTTTGGGTTACATAATATTTTTGGCGAAGGGCCAATTATTGTATATGTATATTTTGCGGAAAGCTTCGGAATGGAAAACTTCGGACCGATGATATAAGCTTATTTGCGGTCAATCGGAAAACTAATTAAGCAACGATCAGAAAATCAAAGAGCAGTGCCGTGATTTATTACCAATCTGGCTCTTGAAGGTCCTTGACTGTACTCTAAAGCTCCTAAATGTCCATATGACTAATAACTTGTCTCTGAACCAGCTGACCACCAGTTTAATGAGTATAGATAGTTGTGAACCATATTTCTTCTGACACGTGGCAACGATTCCAGTATTCCCAGTATTGACCAATCAAAACCCTTAATCACTGTCACGTGTAACAAACTACAAAATTCTCTGTAAAATGCACTTAGAGGATTTTATGTTGGTGAAAGCCTCGAGAATAACTCCTGCTAAAGTTCAAACTTTGGAAAATCATGAAGTTACAGAAAATTGTGCGACAAAACATTAGTGCTGGTTTCAGGACTGCAACTGGTGCACTGCACTCAGAACTGCACTGGGTCCCCGCTTTCAGCAACCGATCATTTAATGGTACTTGAATCTCCGACGTATGTTATAAATAGATAAATTAGGCTGAAATACGAATCACGGAGCACGAAGGGCAGACACCTGGTGAACAAATAAAGTGGGTATCGGAACATTTCATCGGAATCAACTACCACATTCTTAACTTGTGACCAATATTGGTGGTACGGATATCAAGCAATTCGGTACAGACAGTTCAAATTCTGAGCGGTCTATTCAAATTGTTAACGTTTGATAAAGACTACCGTTAAACCTTAACCAGTATATCTCAAGGTAGGGTAGGGCATGTGGTAGGAACTTAAACGGTAGTTACTGCAAATTAACTTATGAACACCTAGTACAGGTGATAGAATAATGGCTGGTGGAGGAGGGGGCCTCCTTCGCCCTTGTTCATTTAGAACTCATTATGTTGGGCTATCGATGCAGTTCGGTACCTCCATTGACAGTGCAGTGGTCACCTGTAGCTAATATTCTTATTAGTACCTCCATTGACATAATATCTATAATATTCTTATATTACTGATTACGGAAAACATGTAAATCGAATAAAATATTCTACAGCAATGTGAATTTTATACTGCGATGTGAAATCCGGCCGAAGCTAGTGCAACACGCCAACACGGCCTTCGCGACTAATGCAGTGACTAGTATTTTTATATTTAATATTACTGATAACGGACACCGTGTAAATCAAATAAAATATTGTAGATTAAGTGTAAATCTGAACTGTTTAAAAAAGTCCATAATCTTGGTATTTCAACACTGAGTCTCGCTTGAGTGACTTAAAAGTACATCTTTGTTGGGTATATTTTAATGTCGAAGGTGTAATAACTGTTTAGAATTTATTATTTATTTCTTTATAATTCGAATAAAATAGTGGAGTACAATTTCTGAGTGGATGAATCCAGATTTTTGAACTTTTGGAACATTTTTGGAACATGTGCCAAATTGTGCCAAAGTGTGCCATGCATTTATTTGCCTAATGGAGCTCTAAATAGTGCCAAAAATAATTGTAAATGATGGATTTATTTGCAAGCTAGGTCTAGGGGCCATCGAAAGTAGCATAACATTACCAGGTTCATGGAATGAACGAAAATGAACACAAAAATCATATTGTCCTATAAATGCTCTGAATGGTTTTAAAATGGTCGGAAAAGTGTTTTTATTGTCCTAGGACCACTCAAACCAAGTTTGGGAATCACTGCATGTCCACGAACCGATGTTACCAATGTTCAAAATGTTCCAAATTTTGTTCTCACAATAATCCTCCTGAGAATCAGATTTTTGGAACTTGGCACATCGAAGTATTGGGCGTATGTAAGTGTGGGAAGCTCAAATTCGGTTGTTTCTAAGATGGATATAGGTAAAAACTAGGCCTAAGAGCCATCAAAACTCAAATAAAATTACCCAGTGTTCATGGATGAACGAAATGAACAAAAATGAATAAATATTGTCCTAAAAATCTCAGAAACGTTTTTTAAAATTGGTCGGAAAGTGTTTTATTAGTCTAGGACCACTCAAAACCAAAGTTTGGGAATCAATGCATGTCCAGAAAACCGGATGTTACCAATGTTCAACATGTTCCATTTTGTCAAATAATCCTCCTGAGGAATCCAGATTTTGTTGGAACCGGGGCACATCGAAGTATTGGCTGGATTTAAGTGCTGGGGAAGCCTCAATTCGGTTTTCTAAGGATGGGATATAGGTAAAAAAACTAGGCTAAGAGCCATCAAAACTCAAATAAATTACCCAGGTTCATGGAATGAACGAAAAAGACAAAAAATGAATATTGTCCTAAAAAATGCTCAGAATGGCAGTCTCCGGGGCAACACTGAACGCGGCTTTTTTCTATTATATTCTGAATCTCCGCCAATTATTTATTTCATCACTTTGAAAATTGAACTAAATCAATCAATCATCCTCAGGCTGTGAAACTATCTGACATCGTTGGTAAAGCCCAAGAATTGAACGTAAAACTTGATTTCAGTTTGGGAATTTAAAGACAACATTTTGGATTCATATTTGTCAAGTTATGTAAATAGACAATTTTGATGTTCCGGATAAACTGCAATTTATTTATACTGATCATGATCTGGACATGACGTACACGGTACACTCTGAGATTTTAATCGCCTTTCTATTATTTGATGATTACAGCGTTGTGATCCTAGACAGAATACTGCATTAGACTCTGCTTTAACTTTTTCTACGATAGCTCACGTCTTTACGTTTGCGTTGTATTGGGAATATGGAACATTATTTAAATTAGAAATTGATATATTTGGAAATGATGAAGTTAGCATTTTATTTTGTTGAGAACCAAGTGAAACGAGATAAATAGGTCTTAATCTGTGGTACAAATATTGTCAAAATCTACAATCGATACTCATTACTCATCCATAATAATGATCCATCTTTAGCTCAATTTTACAATTAGCATTTATAAGAGAGAGAATATGTAATTACCCAAATAGTGGTGTCTCTTGCAGATAAACAGCTCAAGAATAACAAAAGCTGGGGCCAGGTTCACCGGTACAAGTTCTAAATCCTACAATTTCCCCACAAATATACCTCTAAAAAAGTTTATATTAATAGATACACATAGGTCATAGCTGGCTAAAATTGACAGTGGTCAAGTGACAAATATGCCTGGAAAATTACATAAAATGTTTCATCAAAATAGTTTCTTCTAGTAAGAGTAAAATCTCCTAGTCGTTTTTATTACGCCATTTATTCCCGGCTTTAATAAAAGAATTGTGACTGTGTCGTTACAATTTGTCTGAGATTAAGTCTTTAAGTCATGCATAAATCAAACAGCACGGTTAATATGGTTTATCCTGAATTATAAGGATACTTCTGGAAATAATCTGAACACTTTAAGTTAATTGTCAGCACATTGATTAAAATTAAACCAAATACAAATTTCGAGTCGAATATAATGACGCCTAGCCGGCAGGATTTGAAAAACTGATACACCATCAACACGTTGACTAGGAGAAGTGAACCGACTTGGGTTTAGGAGACAGAGACTGTGCCTGGGCCTGTTTGAGAGCCACTAAGTCGTCATAGAAACTTTTGATGTTCACACCCGGTATAGCATCGGGGGAACAGTGGAAATTGCGGAGTCCAAACCAGCCACTCTTCTCCTGAAGTGGGAAGAAATTAGATAAAATTAAAAATGTCTTGCTTTTAATTTATCTCTATTAAGTGTATCCGTACGTGTCGAAAGACATTTAGATATTTTGGCTTTTGAGCCCGATCATCTTGAAGTTTAAAAAGTTCTTGAAACTAACCTCATCGGGAACTGTGAGACGAGAATCAGGGATAAATGGGACGTTTTCCTCTGAAAATATGATAACTTTTGTCATTTGTGTTTGTAATTAACCCACGTGTCCAATATTAAAGGTGGATTGGTTGTTGCTATATCACGAATATGCCCACTACACATTATATTATTCACCCAATCAGTAACATGTAATACAATTTTGATTGACGAAAAAGTCGCCAAACTAAACTATATAGATTAGTTCAATAAAGAACCTAGACACACCAAGATGACACTAGGGTCAGGGAGAAAACATGCCACCATCATACAAAAACACTACACTCCGCTCAATAATAACAGACTAAAATACAGAGCTGCAGTGCACCGTATCACTGGAAACTGTGGGCTTAAAACAAACACCTTCGTACCATCTGCAAATTTAGCACCAGTGCCTGTCTTGTTTGATCATGAAGAAGAAGGCTGAGGGCTCTAATACTAATTCACTCGCCCCAAAATTATCACGTGACTTTGGTTTTTATGGTTTTGCAGCCGAACAAAACGGTTTTACATAAACCCTAATCCCAACCCTAATCCTGACCATAACCCCGAAGCTATCCATAACCCTAACACCAACCCTAACCCTAAACAATCGAATTCGTGTTTTACTAGCCTGTCACGTGACCAAACCAGTTTTTTACCCATAACTCTCCAGGGAAGCATTTTTACCCTACGTCATGGGGGGTAATTCGGAATCAGCTTCCAAAAATACACCCAATTCAACATGATTACTTTCATACACACACAGCCTTTAAACAAGAATTGTGTTAAAATTTTGGCGAGCAATTAAGTGGGAGCGGAAGAAGAGACCGTCCCGAATTTGCGATTGCTCAACGACATCTTCGACAACTAACAATTAACATATAACTTAACTAATTAATATTGTCCACTTTTCCAACTGCACTAAGCGTTTTATTGTACCCGAAGCACTGGATCAGACCAGAGTGGCCTAGTTCATTTTGCTTTGGTATTAACGTCTCGGCTTCCAGGCATTCCATCCCTCAATCGACCAGCCACACTACCCCTCCCTCCCAATGATTTCGCTGGCAAAATTGCTTGGTACGTCAATGACAAAATTCGTACGGACAAATAAGTTGGGATTCTGGGGAAGGAAAGTTATCAATGTGTCCCAAAGTGGTGCAAAAATTAGAGATATCACTGAAAATATTCAGCATTTTCATAAAACTCATGCAGCTGCAGAAGCTGACGATATTCAAAAGATTATATTGAGTGTTGGTACAAATGACATAAAACATTCTAAGTATGGGGTTCAGTTCCTTAGGAAGTATCTTAATGACTTAATTGACACCACTAAGCAGTTATTTCCCGCTGCAATTATAATTATCCAATGTTGTCTTCCTATTAAGTGTTTATATTCCTACATAGCAAAGAATGTTCTAGATTTTAATAATCTACTTAAAGACTTATGCCTAAATAATAATTGCGTGTTCTTAGACTGTTTCTCAGACTTTTTAACTCGAGACTTTAGATCCTGTAATGAACTTCTATACCATGATTGGCTTCATCTCAACATGAGAGGAGTAGGTTTACTTTCCACTTGGCTTAAGTTTGTTGTAAACGAACACAGTTTTGACAGGGTTGTAAATAATCTTCTGGGAATTTAAATCTTTGATCTTTTCTTTCATTTAATATTTTGATTAAGACGTTGCGCCTAAAATTAAAACTCAAACAAATCTCTGATTTAATCTTTTTCTCAATTTTATGCCTCCTATTTCAGGTACATTCGGTCACTGCCCATTTTCCCATATGTTAGACAATGAATCGTTTAGACTTAGAATAGGTCTTTTTGCATGCAAAAGGCCTCGTACACAGTCAAGAAATGCACATATACATATCAACACGTTTATACCTAACAAAATTTACACATTTAATTCTCCATGCACCCCACACATCAACTACAATTATCATAATCATATGTTTCTCTTCTATTCTCTCATCATGACTTACCTTCTCCCAATTCTTCTCTCCACGACTAGGTCCATGAACACCGTGTTCCCCCTAGATTCTTATATTCATTCCTCTCTACTCCTTGACAGCCCACGTTATCTTATACCATTTCTTGCTTGCTCCCACATCAAACTTTTCTTTGTAATTATCTCCTCATGGTTTATAAGAAATGTTCTTCTCCCTGGTAAGATGAATAGAGTCAAGTATTCCAGCCGCCTCAGGCGTCTAGTATCTTTATTCATTCTTTGGGTTTTCTCTCTTAACTTTCTTTTGATAACTCTTGTTAATCCTTCTATGCTTAATCCAGGTCCCAACTCCCTATCTGTACTCTACCAAAATGTCCAAGGTCTTATTCCTTTCAGTAACCTAAGCTCCTCCCATCCCCTTCTTGATGGCAATAAGATTTCCGAACTTCAATCCTTTGCTAACATAGAGCAGCCTGACATAATTGCCCTAAATGAGACTTGGCTCAAAAAATCTATTTCTAGCAACGAAATCTTTCCTTCTTCTCAATATGAAATCTTCCGCAATGACCGCACGAGAAAGACTCATCCTCAAGATCCTAATAACCCTAAAAAGTTTAGGGAAAATGGAGGTGGTGTTCTTTTGGCTGTTCGGTCTGATCTCGATGCCACTACAACCCGACTACCAGTTAGCCTAGGTGCAGAAATGCTTGCCGTTAAAATTGCTTTTCCTAACAAAGAGAGTATTGTAATCTGTACTTGTTATAGAGTAGGAACTCTTGGGTTACCTAATCATGATGTCATAGTTAGTTATATTCGCAAGCTAGTTTCCAAAAAGAATCCCCCTAAAATCTATGTTATTGGTGATTTTAATCTCCCCCATACAGACTGGCTATCTTCATCCAGTACCGTACCTATTGAGCAATCCTTCATAGATTCTTTCAGTGATCTTTCTCTCTCCCAGTTGATCACATCACCCACCCATAAAAGTGGTAATACATTAGACATTCTTCTCAGTAATTATGATAACACAATCGATAACTTGAATGTCTGTGATCCTCATTCCGTGTGTAAATCTGATCATTTTCCTGTCACTTTTTCAATTAAAAGCTCCTTTTCCCGCAAGAAAACTCCTAAACGTAACATCTATAATTATAAGAAAGCAAACTGGGACATGATTAATCGTGAATTATGCTCGATTAATTGGCAAGTCCTAGAATGCCTAGATCCTGATTCGTCTTGGAAGTTAGTTAAAGACTGCATTATGAATTTAGTTGATATACATATTCCTAAAGTAACTATTAAATCAGAGTTTCAACCCCCGTGGTTCGATAGTGAACTTTTTTCTTCATGCCGTAAAAAAGATAGACTCAGAGCTAAATTTAAAATTTCTGGTTCTATTTCTGATGAGTTAAAGTTTGTTACTAGCCGTAAAGATTTTAAGAGGCTTTCATCAGCCAAAATAAGAGACAATCTTTTCAATAGTGATGATCCAGCGCTTATAACTAAGAAGTTTTGGTCACATGTTAAGTATAAATCTAACTCCTGCCGTATTCCTAATTGTGTTAGTTATTCTGGACAGCTTCGGTTCAAACCCAAAGCTCAAGCTGAACTTTTCAATTCTTTCTTTTATAACCAGTTTTCGGATCCTTCACTTTATGACACTGACATCTCCTATGTCAATGATGTTGATTTTGATATTGACTTCGATCATCGGGATGTTCGTAAGCTTCTTTCAGATATTAATTCAAATAAAGCCCAGGGACCAGATGGCATACACGGTAAAATTCTCAAAAATTGTTCCGTAGGTTTAGCTTACCCTCTAACATGCATTTTTCGTGGATCTTACAACAGCGGCTACATTCCACAAGAATGGAAACTTGCAAATGTTGTCCCAATATTTAAGAAAGGTAAGAAAAGTGAGGTTGAAAACTATAGACCAATATCCCTTACTTGTTTAGTCATGAAAGTTTTTGAGCGCATTGTTAAACGTAAACTGCTTTCTTTGACAAGTACCCTTCTTGATCCCAGGCAGCATGGTTTTCTAGAGCACAAGTCATGCACAACCAATATGGTTGACTTTTGTGATAGCCTGGCATTGTCTCTTAACGAAAACATTATCAATCATGTTGTGTATTTTGATTTTGCTAAGGCATTTGATTCTGTAAATCATGATATTCTTCTTCATAAGCTAAAGACCTTATATAACATTGATGGTACACTTCTCAAATTTCTTACCAATTACCTTCAAGGCCGTTACCAAAGAGTGGTTATTGGTAATGAGATGTCATCTACCCTCTCAGTTAATTCTGGTGTCCCCCAGGGCTCTATTCTTGGTCCCTTACTTTTTGTATTGTTTATCAATGATATTCCTCTTGGCCTTTCGGATAATACTGATATTGTTTTGTATGCCGATGATACAAAAATCTGGCGTAAAATACATTCATCTTCTGATAATACTAATTTACAAATGGATATAGACTATCTCTCTGACTGGGCACTAAGAAACAAAATGCGATTCCATCCAGCAAAATGTAAAGTGCTTATTGTTTCAGGAAAACCATCTTTATCTCCTCCATTCGCATATAATCTTGATGGCTCTCCTCTTGTGTATGTAGAGTCAGAAAAAGATCTTGGAGTCGATGTTACTCCTAAGCTAAGTTGGAATAGTCAGTGCGACAGAATTTATACTAAGGCCTGCCAACAACTTGGTATGGTCAGAAGAGATGGCCATATTGTCATTGATCAGAAACGTCGCCGGGCGCTTTACCTCTCCCTGGTTCGTAGCCAATTCGAAAATTGTTCAATAATCTGGCGCCCTTGTAATAAATCACTTAGTGATAAATTAGAAAGTCTCCAAAAGAGAGCTATTAAATGGATTCTGTCTGAAGAGGGCCGCAGTTATCCACCTGAGCAATATGTCAAAAAGTGCAAGCTTGTCGACATTCTCCCTTTGTCTCAAAAGTTTGACTTGAATGATCTTATTTTTTTCCACAAAGTTCTTAACAATTTAATTCCTGTTTCGCTGCCTCGCTATCTCTCTTTATATCAGGGCACTTCTCGACTAAGACGTTGCCACCTCGACAGTCTGTCTATTGTGTCATCAATTTTACCTAAGTTAAGTCAGAATTCACACACCACATGTACCTCAAATAGCCCACTGGCAAAATCATTTTTCTACAGAACCCATATACTGTGGAATGGACTCCCTTTACAGGTAAGACAGATTGTGTCTACTAATCTTTTCAAAGCTGAGGTCACTAAGCATCTATGGAAATGTTTATTGGATAGTGAAACAACAGTCTAGCCTAGTCTCTTTGCTCCCCATATTATTATTATTTTTGTTTTATTAATTTTTTTATCTACCTTCCTATACTTTCAACATCATATCACACTTCACCCGCACACCTTCTCACACATTAATGACCATTTTAGACCTGTATCTAATGTATCTGGAATTTGACGTATTGAAATACAAATTTTGACTCTATATCCACAGTTATTCACCATGGATTTGTTTGTTATTAAATAGTTTTTCATAAATTTTTGGATTTAGATTAATTCGATGTAATGGGTCCAAGTTACTGCGGACATAGTTCACTATGTGTTTACCGTGTTTGGGTGCCCATCATATTTTACAGATGGGGGCGATATTTTGAACGATTCTATTTTATATTCATCTATTGCTGTACTCTGTAAAATTTGAAAAGTATTTAATAAAAAAAATCTCCTTGGAGGGTTCCCACACCCCAGAGGTAGGCAAAGCATCTTTATGCTTTCCTCTTATGGGCCAACCAGGTTAAGCCTCTCACCAAAAATGAAATAAAATAAAAACACAGAGACTGGAGACACGTTGACACACGCTGTAATCTGTATAGTGTATACCTCTTTTCGCGGCCGAAGAGGTATACAAAGTGTAGCAAGAGACACGAGAAACCGACCATCTCATCTTGCTTTAAAGTTGTCACATACAGTTGTAGTACCTCACGGAAATGTGAGACTACCAATGTGGCCTGGGCTGTTTGTAAATAACTCAATTGTTTCTCACAACATTATGTAATATGGCACTTGATCTTTTGCTGGATGAAAATCATTATGATATGGCTGCTTAAGAGATTTACTGGTTACCAAGGAAACGCGCGCACGATTTGATTCTACTAGTTATGAAAAGTTGTGCTTGTATTGATAAAATATTACAGCGCGCGACGCAAATAACTGATTTTCACGGAATAATACAGTAGACATGGGGCAGATTGTCCGGTAATGAGAGTGGAAGCAAAAAATATCATCATCAATAACTCACCCGCAGCTTCTATTGAATTCAATTCTTCCACGAATGATTTGTAATCAACACGACCATTCGGCTTTGGAACTCTGAAAATTGAACAAATGGTATTATTACGTAATACATTTTTGTGAACCCAAAACCCGACCAAAAAACAGTTTATGCATCGGCAAATTCATCAAAAAATCCAGACCCGCCTATTTAGCTTAACAAAAACTGACTTCTGGATGAGAGCTGTGAGAAGATCGTTTTTGAGAGGCAGCCCAACACCAGCACACACTCTATAAACATCAGCGGGATCTATCAGATTATCGTTATCTTCGGAAGGACATTGTGACAAAGCTTTCCGCAGCTCGTCGTATCGGTCAAAGTTCATCTTCTGCAGCTGCAATGATTATTGTGGTGAATGTTAAAATACTGATATTAAACAGAATGTCATGTGACGTAAAATACGTCATAAAAAATTAAACATACATTTAGATGTTTTACAGAGGTGCAAATTAACATGTACTTGTCCTAAAACAACATGGTTCATAAAAAGTGTCTTAAATGGGTAAAATAAGATAAACTTTAAAACTTACTTTACAAATTGATATCCTCTAAGCTGTACTCTAAAACTTACTTTTTAAGTACTCTATAAAACTTACTCTATAACGACAGAGCTTTAGAACCAGATCATAGGTTATCTTCAGGGCACTCTCGTTAGCGTATTTGCGTGCTATAACAAGGATTGCGTGTTGTGATAGCTTCATGTGACTGCTCGCTTCTATCAACTCTCTGAACAAATGAGTATTTTAGTACCTTGAGAACCTGGAACTTGAACCAATACAACAGTTAACTCCTTGAACTATTGTACTTAAAAGTTACAATCACTGGAAATGCAGGATCTAACAAATTAGATTTAGTTCAGACTCAAACTGACCAAATTTTCGATTAAAAAACTTAATTTGATCTCTCATAAAAGATAAAACTATAATAATTAGGGCAAAAATAAGAGAGAAAATAATAAACTTACACAAAGTCAACGTAAGAGACAGATTCTTTCTGTGCAAACTCCTCGTTAAGAACATTTTCTGGGATACTATCGCAGAGAGCGTCCATTATTCTCGTCAGATCAGCTTCTGGGAACTTCCCGTTTATTAAATTTAAGACACAAGATATTAAAATATGACATTTGGATTTACCAGGAGCTTTGTATAAATTCATGCTACTCTTTCATAGGCCTCTGTTCTAAAAATAGCGTTTGAATCATGTAAATTTTAGAGGATGATCTAAGGAGGACGTGCAGCACTCACTAAATTTGCTGCTTGCTTTTTACGTCGTCTGACAAGCAAGTGGGACAAAAAATAGACACATTTTCTGAAAACTCTAATTATATTGTATGTACACATACATTTCAGATAGTACACAGGTTTCATAAAATCATATAAACAAAGTTTGATGCTCTCATTATTTAATTAATATATTTACATTATATTAACAGTTCTCAGTATTTTCCCAGTAATACATCTTCAAGTGCAGGTTTTTTGCCCGTAGAATTAATAAAGCTTTAAAACATAAATTTAAGAATCGTTGGTTTAAAGAAAAACTGAATTTTGCTTTCAGTGTGTGAACATTCACAAAGATATTAAGTGATATGTGATTAAGTTGAAATCACTATTGGAACATTTTAATCAAAACATTCAACTGATAGCACGTCGATGACAAATAATTTACTATTCTAAGAAAATGACAAGGAAAAGAAAGAACACTCCTGTCTTGACTGGGTGTAGGGAGAGACACCGAATTTCCTGAATTCTTGTCTTTCAATTTTGAAGTTTCAGCATCTCGATTAAGTTCATCAATCCTGAAAACGTATGTCCATAAAACATTTGCTCTTGGTATGAAGTTGGTGCTGTTGTGTAGGATGTGGTGGTGCGTAGGATGTGGTGGTGTGTAGGATGTGGTGGTGTGTAGGATGTGGTGATTTTTAAGATGTGATGGTGTGTAGGATATGGTGTTGTGTAGGATGTGGTGGTGTGTAGTATAGGATGTGTATAATGTGGTGGTGTGTAGGATGTGGTGGTGTGTAGGATGTGGTGACTGGTGGTGTGTAGGATGTGGTGGTGTGAAGGATGTGGTGGTGTGAAGGATGTGGTGGTGTGTAGGATGTGGTGGTGAAGGATGTGGTGGTGTGTAGGATGTGGTGACTGGTGGTGTGTAGGATGTGGTGGTGTGTAGGATGTGGTGGTGTGTAGGATGTGGTGGTGTGAAGGATGTGGTGGTGTAAAGGATGTGGTGGTGTGTAGGATGTGGTGGTGTGTAGGATGTGGTGGTGTGTAGGATGTGGTGGTGTCAATGATATGCCAGTGCAGTTTGTGGGATGTGCTACTACTAGCTGGGCATGATATTATCTACGAGATATCACCACTAGAAATAATCAAAATACTTTGTTTTTAGCTATTAATTAATTAGCTAATTACCTTGTGTTGCTCAGCGTAAGAAAGAGCGTACTCGTCAGCATCGGTAATAACGAACTGGTGCGATCTGAAGTTTACCACGGCTCCTACGTAAATATCCTGAAATGTGAGGTAGGTTACTTTTGTAGAACTTTTATAATAAATTGAGAATAATAATTGTAGTACTAAGACTAAGAATGATTGGGTTCTGTATCCAGTTTAAATATTTCTATATTTTCCGGCAGTTATTTTCAGTAGAGTAGTAACGGTTTCAATGATCAACAACTTTTGAAGGTTTAAAAACCAATAATTTTGCGATGAGCAAAATATAAAATCTCACTCTCACAATCCTATCTCACCTCAGCTTGGTAGTATCCACCACTTGGGTTCATTATCTTGCTCCTCTCGATGAATTTGCCGTGTACAATACCAGAATTCCTCTTTTCCGGCTCAAACACGGAGATAGTATCATCAGACAGGAAGAAGGAAATGATAAAGGTTCGGTCCATGTCGATGGGTCGGTTGGTGTCGAGTCTGGCGAAGAAGCGTAACACGTGACTGTCTAGTCCTTGTCTGAGAAAAGGTGAGGGTTAGATTATTTCTTACTTGAAAGTGGCTCTAATGATGAAGCGACATTTAAAAAATATCTTACTTAAACAAAAACATACTAAAATTATGTGCTTATGGACACGTTCATAAAAAGGTGGCACTAGAGATTGATTTTTCACTGCCAAAATTGTGTGAAGCATTTTAAAATACTTGTATCTCAAGGAGTATGCTATGAAAGTTAACCAAATTTTAATATGTGGTCCAAAAAGATTCAAATATCACATAATTAAGTCATTCGTCTCTTTATATCTGTTAATTGTGCAGATATGAGCCAGAAATCACAAAATATTCATTTCTTGCACCTCTAATGATGAATTTACATTCTGTGAGTGTGTCCTGCTTCTCAATGTGATTATTGAACCTTTTTGAGATAGTTGAGTGTTAAAAGTGCAAAGAATCACCGGTTAAATGTGGAGTTACGATGCAATTATCACACACAGGGTTAATTCTGACTAAGTGTTTTATAATGATGAATGTGATATGAATATCAACGGAACGATTGTAACAATGAACTCTATCAATCACAATTATAGCATGCTAACTAATATTTAGAGAATTTAGATGGTTAAAAGTGCAATAATGAGTCAAAAATCACATAAATGAGCATGTATTGTAATGATGCTGTATCAGGGGAATCTATCACTTTTTGGCTCTATATCAGGTTGGTATTCATAGTAAATCTGCAGTGATTTGTTGTGACACTTGTTTATGGTCATGGAGAAGTTCGTTATTAGAGTAATAGTGGAATCAATAATCACAAACACTGATTTTAAACAGGGTAAACTAGGCAAGTACTTTTACAGCTCAAGCCATGATAATTTAGTCGCCATAATGTGACAAATGAATCATATCAGTAACATATGATTGCATTCGTATATTCGTATATTCATTTATTGCATGTTTAATTTGTTTTTTGTGTTTAATTTACGATTATTTGCATTTGAGATTCTGCGATTAAATTTATTTTGTTGATTGTAATGTTGTGATATTGCATAATTTATTGTAAATGTAATATATGTTTCAGAAAATTATGTAATGTAATGCGATGGAGGTTCTTTAAGCAGGCAATTCCAGTCCAAACCCTGGAAACATGACACAAAGGATTTGTTTTACTTGTTGCATGAAAAGCACTAATATAATACTTAATCGGATTTTTTAAATGTGATTATCGATTCATTACCTTTACTTTCAAAATGTCATTACAACTTGAACATTACGTATGATTCAATTATCACACTTTAAAGGAAATTACATATTTGGTAGCCAGATTTGTGTGATTTTTGAATCATTTAAGCACCGAGATCAAAAATTATCGCTCAAAGGCCTTCAATATGGTATAAGCTTAGACATGGATTCAAAAATCACATAATAAGAATCATAGTCCATAGAATGGATATGAATTGTCATATCGTGCACTTAATTTAAGGCTTACTATAGTGTGACTTAATAGCGCACCTTTAACGAAAATGTGATTCTTGAATCATATTAACTGGTTTTAATACTATTTAATACTATTTTGTACCCTAAAAAATGATAGAAAGCCAATAAAAACGTAAGATGATTCAATAATCACTGTTCAAAATAGGCTCATTTCCAACGTTTAAGTTGTGATTTTTGAATCATTTTGGCACCAATAACAATTTCAGATAAGACATTCCATTCCATACATGCATTATAATCACCATATCAATTTTGGCGTCTTTGTGAATAGTACTTTTCAGATTATCTAGTGTTGATTCATCTTGCATTTCTAATTGTGTGATATTTGAATCATTGGCACACAAATAACGATAACTCCTGTGATATAAGCACTAGAGACTCCGTGATTTCAGGATCATGAAATTTAATCGAATTTCTAAAGGTATAGATAGATATATCAACCAACAAAGAACAATGACTATTTTTAATACGCATTTTAAAAAATTAATCTCTAGTGCCACCTTTTTTTGAACGTGTCCTTATTTGGATTCTTATTTACTCACTTTATATGCACATTAACCAGATTATTGAAATACAGTTTCTCAACATGCATGTTAAATCAATATTTAAATATACTTATTGTTTACATCATAATCAGTTTAAAGTTGAAATATCAGCAGCAACCCACCTGTCTTTCTTCATGAATTTGATGAAGACCCCCCCCGGCCCCCTTAAGTTGAAATATCTGCAGTGACCCACCTGTCTTTCTTCATGAATTTGATGAAGTCTCGTTTAGGAGCTTGAGCGATGAGTTTCAGGCAGTTAGCTCTGGAGTCCTCTTCGGATCCCCAGCCATTGTAAGGTGGAATCTCACGTTCAATCTTAGCAGCTTCCGTCTGTTTGTAGTGGATTGGGGTGTTCTTTGCTGTGAGAGAGATGGGTCGTTTTTAATTTAAACGAAAATATACACTAGACAGTTTTATGCGGTCACTTCATTAAGGGAAAAATGAGCGAAAGAGGACTTGAGAGAAATCAGATAATGTACATATCTTAATTCTTAATATTTACAATGTCAACATCCGAAAAACAATGAACAACTCCCTTAATTAAAAACTACAATCTCAACATAAATTTAAATAAACTCACCAACGGAGAACTTAGAGGCGTAATGGTGAGCAGTGAACTCGTCCATATCACAGACCGTCACCTCCCTGCCCCACACGTTAACCTTAGCTCCAATAGTCAGATCAGCATCAGTGTAACAGGACTTGTCCACAGCTCCTGTTTTTAGAGAGTCCAGGATGTATCGTCCTCCGTGTCCCATGGGGCCGAATACGTTCAGGATTGTTCGCTCTGTTATTTCACCGGGCTTGTGCAGCGCGCCTACTTCCTGCACGTGCAAACAGTTATTATTATAAACAGCATAAAGGCACATGATAAAGGCACATGATGCACATTGTTCTTCTCGATAGGGCAATGGGCATTCATATAGAAAATACAACTCATATATAAGTTGGTATCGACAATATCCCATCAACTAAAAGTCGAGCAAATAGTGTAACAGCCCAATTTCCTCGTCACTCTTACCTTAGGAACCTTACTCCTCCTCAAGAACTTAGGAGCGGCGTCCCTGCCGGAGTTAGCTCTGATCACCTCGCGTATCTCGATAGTATCATCAGCCAGGAAGTAGTGGAGGACAAGTTCCCTAACATCTCCGAACATCTCGCTAGAGTTATCCCAGATGCAGTAGAATCGCAGTACTTTTCTGTCGTTGTCCAGGAACTGGAAAGTGGAAATGTTATACAACAGCGATGCAATATTAGTGCAACTTTAGTGCAATATTAGTGCAATATCAGTGCAACTTTAGTGCAATATTAGTGCAACTTAATTTTTAATGTTATGATTATTTTTAATTTTTTTCATTCTGACTTTCAGATAATCAAAGCTGAAAAGTACATGATATTTCCAAAAACAAAACAAACAGGGCGGATGATTTAAAAAGAGAAAGGAATACTAAACGGGAAAAAGCACAGATAATGGAAGAGGAAGTTTTCTTAACCTGTTTGAGTGTATCACACTTCTCGTAAGGCCTATGAGGCTGCATGGTGGCAGCTTGGTTCTTCCTGTGTACAAAGTAAGGATCAGCAGGTTCAGTGGACATTGCCACCGGTACTTTAGCTCCTGTTTTAGTTAGGAAGTTACGGGTGAACTCGTCACAGTCCTGTGGGATGAAGTGTGTTAATATATACAGTGTATGAACTATGAACCGAAGAATGAACTATGAACCAAAGAACAGATTGATATTTCAAACAAATATTGATCATTTTAGGAGCCACAAAAATGTGGCCTATCCAGCATGTATCAAAACACCAGTTTCAGACTAAAGTACCTTGATGGTGAAGTTTCTGCCGTAAAGAGTAACCGCGTTGCCAACATTAAACGCCTCCACTGTGTAGAACTGATCGTCGTTTGGTGGTGGCTGGGAGATGCGGTGTCGGCGTATCAGCGTTCCTTGAGGAATACCGCTGTTTTCCTGACGGGCTTCGTTGACTTGGATACTGTCGTCTTCCAGGTAGTAGAGTATCGTGCAACTAGGGTGAGGTGTTGATTTTATGTGGCTGTACATAATTCTTAGATAAATACAAATTACTTTTTTTGAATAATAAATTTGCCGAATTTTAAGTAAAGAGTTCGTCATTATTCTATCACCTTACTACCCAAGAGAAACACGAAAACACTAAATTTACGATTACACAAAAACTCACTTTCTGATCCTGTACTTCTCCTCCCTCTTCTCGTGCACTGCCTCCTGGAAGAAAGCACTGAAACGAAGAACCTGCCGGTCGTGAACCACCCAGGAGGGGGCTGGCTGTCCGGCTCCGTTGGGGACTATCTTAGACTTGGGAGGGATCTTCTGTCCGGAGAATGGTCTCCTAAGATAATTACATCAAACAACGAACTTCTAGCACACAATTACCTAGATATCGCTTGCTTACCTAATCATCGAAACGTCAAGTGTCTCCCGCTTTCTAACTGCCTACAATTAGTCTACGTGTTACTGTAGTCTTCGATATGGATTTGTGGCCTGCTTATTAACTATTTTTAGCATTTTCAGATTCCAAGTTCGTTTAAATTTTAAATACTCTTAATCTTGAAGTCATTATTGTAACGGTATATTACACCAGACAGAAACAAAGTGTGAAGGGGCCGAAACGGAACCCCTCGGTTCCGTCCTTGCCGTACAGCAAGGTCAGCAATATGAATTCTCCTGCATTAAAAACTTAAGTCATTTGCCGGTTTCACTATTATTAAGTTTATAATCAATTCATAATGCATTGTGGCCCTCATACCCTAACGATGTATATTTTTGCCTGTATCCTCGTTTTAGTTAACCGTCCTTATTTCGTACTTCTTTGAAACTGTGCTGAAGTAAAAAATAAAGAAAATTTGCAGAGGTGACAAGTTCGATGAAGCGAACTATAAACACTGTAAAATTATAATTCCGTAAATACTGACATTGCTCATCCTAAACCCTAGTGGTTTATTACACCTTGCCTGAAAATCAGCATATGACCGTCTGGTGAAGGGTATGTTCTCTTATCCTCGTCACAACACATGATGGAGAGCATATCTCCGACCCTTTCCGATAATCCTAAGACAAGCAAATTTGCAAAAAAGTTCGTAAGCAATGTGTCTCAGGCTTTCTGGTTTAATTTTTGCCATTCCATATCGTCGGCAAACTCCCTGCTGACCAAATGACTGAACTTCCAAGACCTCAGTGTCTTCTATCATCTTTCTAAACACATTCATTTCTGTCACACATTTGTCCGTCTCCTTCAACACGGAGTCAACAATAAGGGAGCTTTCTCGGCAACAGTAGCATTCAATCTCAAACCCCATGGTTACACAGTTGCTACATTTACACCAATAAGCCTCCTCAAGCTCTGTCCTCGGAACACAATCGTTTCGTTCAGCTACTGCAGATATATTATCATCGTCCGTATCGTATCCGTCATTGTATCCCCTCGTGCTAGGCTCGTCATCGCTCTAGTGTCACTTCACAGTAGCCTTTGGTCAAAACCGTATGTCCTGATAAATTTCATCGTCGTTAATACAGCGTAAAGTTTCTTCATCACTTTCGTCACCACTAGTCAACCCTTCGAAGCTGTCCTCTGATGGTACCTCCTGATTGCTTGAAAACATTGCTGTAGGAATTTCAGGTCACAAAAAGAAATAAGAAGTGGTTTCTCCCCTTCTAAGGGAAATAGACGATAAAAATGTTAAACCTCTGGTTAGTTTAATTAGTACCGTTAGTGAGCAACTCTTCATAATGCTCATGAGCCAGTTTCGAAAGGCTATCAATCGTAAATTGGATTGACATTTGGTAACCGAACTAGACAAATGGTGTCTCCTGCACAACTAAATCCGATCAGAAAGTGTATAAATCAGCATTATCAACCACAACACGTAATAATTGGTTTTATACAATATAAAATTGTAAGCAATTAACGTAGGTAAGTATAGCTAAATAAAAATTTGTTCACCAGTGATACAATTGTAAAAGCGATGGTCCACTGCGGCGAAGGAGATTGCACTAACAGCCATGCACAGGTAGAAAGAGCTCGTTTCAAAATGGGCTCAGAATAGTATGTCGCAATTTTGTGAGGTTTTACAAGGTGCCTGACCAGAGAAAATGAAAAAAACTATTCTTGCAATGGAGACTAGACAAAGAAGGCCGGCCGAAGATGTTAAACGAACTACAAGGGTGTGCTCCTGATCATTTTGCAGATGATGATTTTTGATCCCAATCTTTTGCTTTGCAAAAACAATCAGATTCGAAACGCTGAAGAAGAAACAAATAATGTTGAAAGACGACGCGGACCCAAACACTGATCGAACCAGATTCGAGATGAGACTTCATTTTTTTTTTTGGGCCAGGCACAAATCGCTGAGAATGTGCTCTAGTTCTGCAAACCGTCCGCAAGAGGTCAGAGAAGATTTTGCGTATATTGAACAGCTGACTGGAAAATGAATCTCTGTGCGGCTCTGTCCGCGGAGGAGACCAGAACCAAACTGATGCAACTGATACTAAGTATTTTTGACTTGCCCCAAGTGATGGACTGCTTTCTAACAGAATAAAATGTGGAGGCCAAATCTCGTGCTTTAAACCCAGGTTTGTGAATGGCGTGTCAATAGATTACTTTGCTCTTGTGCACTTTATGGAGATCGACTCAACCTGTTCTCTGGTCCCATCAAATCGGCATCCCTATAAATGTAAAAAACTTCATGTGCTCTTATAATAGTGGAATACGGTTTCAAAGCATGCACACCTTCTGGAACCTAATGGAACTACCAACCTTGTCCAGGCCAACTTTTGATAAACATATTAAAACGTGGCTATTTCAAGTGATATACAACTGTAACCCGGACCGGAAGAGGGAATATGCGACCGTCTGAGTAAACAGAAGCTGATGTGTAGACGTTGTGCTTTGTGGAGATGCCTTCAGTTCGACTCCCCCGTTATTCTGTCTGCAAAGTACTGCAACCTTACACCTTCATGACTGTGAGAAACAACGAGTTGTGACTCAGCGTCCTCAGAAAGACAAGTGACAGGAGTCCTGGAGCACCCAGCAGTTCCGACAGGTTTTGGGAGGGTCGTGTAAAAGATGAAAAAAGTTCAAGGCCGATCATTTGGTAATAGAGCGCATAGCCACGATAAACCGAATTGTGGAGACAATTTTTCTGGCCTGAGTTTCGTTTGAGTATGGCATATGGCTAAAAACCCTAGCTAATCACTTGCGTACAGCTGCACGAAATCACATCCAAAAATAGGAACTTGGCAACCGTGCCATTGTGAATCATTTCTGTTGTCTTGTAAAATTGCTGAAGGAGACCCGATCTCGCTGTCGAGAGGTTACACTCTTTGTCCTTTTTCACGTTGGATGGACATACACGATTGGAGATACAGGAGAACAATTCATGAAATAATAGAGAACTAAGGAAGAACATAACGTTTAAAGTACGACCTTACCCAAATAAACCAGTACTGGTTAAAAAAGGCAAGCACCCAACATTATCAAAAATTGATGATTAGAGCGATTTCAGGTTCAACCCGAAGATGAAGATTACTTCGCACTCTTTAAGTTAGTGACGGCAACAAGCTTCAGTAACGCCTCTGGAGAACTGTGCGAAGTTTTGCACACGGGAAAATTGGAGGTCCTTTCACAGCATGAAGCTGTTGTATTTGCCAAACTACACATTGTATAGAAATGCAAACAATGACTATCCTTACAATGTTGGCAGCCGCTCAAAATAACCTCTGCGTACAAGGAGGAAACCTGCTGAAAACCTATATATGTAGAGCCTTACTCCAGAGCGAATAAATCCTATGTCCAAAAAATAGAAATCTATATACAATCTAACATTAAGAAAGCCATTTTTATTGAACGTCGAATGAAAACATTAAAAAACTATACTCTCCTTTCCCTTCGACTACATAATACCTCATATATCATTAAAGACATTCTACGACGTTCCATGAGTCTAAAACCCCCTGACAAGAAACTTATGATTGATCAACAGTATGTGTCACGATCAAAAAGTAATCATTGTTCGTTTTAAGAACTTTTCAATTATCATTACTTCCCAGAAAGTATTAACAATCTCCCACTCTTCCGAGCAATCTATAAACAATTTCCTAAACAATCCTTCCAATAATCATAACAGAGGTGTAAAATTGAACTCTCTGATAACCAAAACAGAGATGTTAAAATAAACTCTCTGCTCGTCCAAAACTCTATGTGCTAAATATTTCCTTAACTCTCCTGCTATAGCCAAAACAGAGGTGTAAAATTGAACTCTCTGATAACCAAAACAGAGATGTTAAAATAAACTTTCTGTTTCCCTAAAACTCTCTGCTCTTAACAATATCTTTAACTATCCTCCTTGTAACTAAAACAGAGGTGTTAAACTAAACTCTCTGCACTACCCTGCTGTACTAAATGTCGTACAAAAATATATGCCCTAAAATACTACCCTTAAATACTGGACTAATACTGTCATGCATATAAACTTAAGATATAAAACCCAACGCCAATCTATATAAGAATCTAAACCGTCCAACGAGTTCCTTGCCATTAGGGCTCCACTTCTCGCGATCTCCTCTGCGCGTCCCTTCGTCTTATCTCTGTATTCTCCTCTCTCCACTTCCTTCTTTTCGGTCCTTTCTATTCATTGTTGTAATAAAGGGTTAGATTATGATCAAAATAGTTATTTTGGAAAATGCCAAAATGACCCTACAACATAAGTACATCAAAAGTAGTAACTTTTGGTGATCATGGCGAGTAAGGTCATCAAAAGTAGTAACTTTTGGTGATCATAGCGATTAAGGTACATCGAAACAACTGAGCTCTCAGTATGTCGTATAGTACCAGAATACACATTTAATATTTCAATTTGATATTTCGAAACAAAACATTCAAATCGTGAAAAATGGGGAAAAATGGCGAAAGATTTTTATGGTGAATCGAGTTTTCAAATCGTACCATTTCACCATTTTTCAACATTGGAAACCCCCAAATATTCATACTCATTATTAATCATATGGCATAATAGATTTAAACAAGGATAATATAGCAAAGAACCCAGGAGGTGACCGGGACATGATTTCAGGCCTGACCGGGACCGGGACCGGGATACAAAATGTGACTTGACCGGAACCGGGACTGAGATTATCTGAGATTATCAATTTACCGGGACCGGGACCGGGACTGGGATGAAAAATGTGACTTGACCGGGACCGGGACTGGGATAGCTCAAAATTGCCAATCCCGGTACCGGGATTCTCGGTACCAGGAATTGCGGTCGATTACTGGTTAATTCATGATCATAATTTATTACTCAAACTTGTTTAG